TCGTCAGCAGAGCCATGGCAAATCCTTTTCATGCCAAGATGGCAAAGCTTTCACCAGTTGACCTGTCTGAAAATAGGGACATCAGTAGGGCCTACCATCTTAGTGTCTGGAGGTCTGCTGCGGATGGGGTGGTTCCTCAGGTTTGCTGCCGGTTTGCTCTATTTCCAGTGGGGACTTGGGGATCGGATCGGTCAGTTTGCTGAGTTTCATGGCACAACGAGCAATCACCACTACCCGGATCGAGCCCCCAGATCCGGCGCACTTTCCAGGAAGATTGCTAGTGACACAGAGCACCTTCTCCCAAAGGTCGAAGCATCAGTTTCTCAGAGCATCCTTTGACTCAGGATTCTCTAGACTTTAGAATACTTTAGATATCTCTAGACCTTGTTCTGTCCTTTTAAGGCTGCATCATGAGACTCAGAAATTCAGAGTCCCAGCACCTCAACTGGCACATGCAGCGACTTTGTGAGGACCGGACCGTTGCGGTCTACGAATTAGTGAAGAGAGATTCAGAGAGATCAAGGATTGTTCACAGCTGTAGCGGACCGTGGCCATTGCAGTATCAAATGAGTCGAAAGGAAATATGTATCGTGAATATCCGTGAATGCTCCTCGCATCTCGCCCTATCATTCTAATTACCGAATTTTTGTGCGGAAATCACCCTGCAAGGTGTACAAGCTGGTCGTTCACCTGAATCGAATTTTGGACATTGCAGCAGCAAAAATGGTTTCTAGGTGCAAGTTTTCAGCAGCATTTTTTGAACCAAAGCCAAAGTGCCACCACATGAGCTTGAGAAAGGAAAACCATGTGATGCTCTGTATTAGTTGGCGTATGTCATTTGTCGCACTCACGAGCAATGCATTTCTTTTGCACCAAAAGGAAACAAAGCACCGATAGAGGCCCAGGACAGTCATGGACCTTGCCTTGCAAGCGCTGTACAAAAGCGCAAGGTTTTGTCTTGCCTCACGTGATCCAAGAGCCATGCATGCCATGCATCTTGTGGCTGTGACAAATGGCTGGTTCCTTGTGTCAGGTTTGCAAGTGCTGACACTGATTCTGCTCACTGGTAACTTGGTAACCCTGACATCCATGCAATTATTCCGAAATGATTCCATAGAAAGCGCCAACTTTGCAACACTTCACTCCCTTCCAGCTGTTCGGAGTCTGAAATCCATGGCCTTGGCGGCCTTGGAGATCAATCTCCACCTACCAGTAGCAAGCTTCTGTGCAGTGCAAGGACACGAGATGAATTTGGCACCTGACCTCTCAGACATCTCTGATATGTTGGACTGCAATGAAAATTTCTCACCATCAGAGTCAAGTTTCATCCATGTCGAAGGCGTCTAGGGAAGCACAATGATGGTTTCAAGATGGACGTAGCCTGTCTGAGAACTCGAGGCCTGGACCTCAGAAAACAAGACGTAGGCTGAGTTTCAGATGTGCCAAGCACAAGGACACGGTCAGTGCAGTGGATATCATTGAATTTTGGTTGCATCTGCCTATTGAGATGTCATGAAATGTCTTTGAATTGAAACATCTTAGGCCAAAGCGAAACATCGGGATGAGCCCACACCACCAAAGGGCTGACCTCAGAAGCTGAAACTGAGAAGGACGTGTCTTGTGCTGCGCCGTATCTACAGCTATACACAGTCTGTCCTGTCAAGGAGAAGTGACCCAGAAAATGCCGAGTCAAGCAAAACGCAAACTTCTGCTTTGAAGCGAATGTCACGTTAACTATCTTTCGGCAAGAGTCTGTCGCAGACGGAGCACGCCTCAGTGCCATCATAGTTGTGAATCCAATCAAGATATACATCTCTGAGACTTTCTGAGACTACACAACCTTTTGCGTCACAATATCTTCTCGCAACTTGTGCTAAAGCCTTCATTGGTAAATTTCTCAATCAAACAAGTGCAAATCCTTGCCAGAGTATGGCAAGCTATTGCAGGGCAAGCGTCCGCACAGTGGTTGAGATGCTTCTTATTGTTCGAGACGTCGCTGAAACAATACCTAATTCGAGATCTAGATCATTCAGACCTGATCTTGAATGATCTTGAGAGTTTGCTTTTGCATTGGAAATTTCAGCATCATGATCTTCTTATATCTTAGCACCCACTAGTGGAAAGCCTGAGTATTCCACCTGCAGAGCTGGCTGTCGGAGCTACTGGCGTGACACCTCAAACTCAAGGAGGACCAAACTAACAAGTTCGACTCGGTTCGACAATATTTATTGCGCAGACAGCGCTAAGCTATACGCTGCCGGTTGAAGCCCAACTGGTTGCCGGTGCCTTTGTCCTGGCTTTGCACTTATTTTGGTTCGTGTTCTGTGGTCATGTGGTGCGATTGGCAGATTCAGTTGTTTGCCGTGGCGGTCCTCGCAAGTCGCAATGGGGATGGGCTTGCCACTCGAAATGCAGGTTGCACACTTGCCGCTCGAAGACTAGGAGCGCCAGGTGCCTAAACTCTGAAAGCATTGGGCAGCTGGCGTCAGTGCGGACCACAACAGACCCAACCAAATTGTCTGGTCTGTTGGGAAGGGGCCAAATTTTGGCACCGACATGGAGCGAACAGTAGCACACTCCAAAATCAAGAACATCGTTCATTCAAGATACGAGGCATAGAGACCCAGAGGTCGATCTGGTGAGGCCAGTCCAACTGGGCAACGGGCGGAAAGAGACCACGCAGCATTATGAGTCATGTAATATTACAATATATATTATATCAGTACTCAGTACTCCAATTAGACTTCATCACAGAATCAGCTTTGAAAACATGCAAGTGGGACATAGTCCGGGAAGTCTTGCACACAACTGCTGGCTGCCAGGATGTGCTTCCTGGCCAGTTTTGCTTCTCCAAATTCTACATTGCAGGAAGCTGAAGGGATGCATGATGAAGCTCTGGTCCAAACTTGCAAGGTTGGCCGCCAGAAGTGCATGTAAGCGTAGGCTTGGAAACTTCGAGCCTCTCCAGACTCACTGTGGATCCACAGTGTTGATATCATCCTATTGTAATATGTATCAAAGTCCGAAATCTGAGTTGCCTTGTCCTTCGTGTGATTCAAGTTGTGTCCGCCAATTCTGGCACTGGCCGTTTGCCTTGTATCGTCAGCAACCGCTGTGGTGGCGCTGTTTTTGGCAGCTGGAGGGACAGCCGAACTCTCTGCTTGTGTGCGAGGTGCATCACCTCGGCTCAGGGTTTGACCTGAAGGTCTAGCCAACGCAGCCAACATTGAAATTTCACATATTTCACTTGAGATGTTTGTTATTCTTTGACAGTTCTGAGTGAAACTCCTGCGTTTCCAACTTGAAAGTGATCAACTCTGTAATGAATGTCTTTCATGAAATATGGGCGATTTTCTCCAACTCCCAAAAACTGCACACGCTAAGCGCCACTGCGTTGGTTTTGCTTGCGCCTCTGTGGTGTGGGTAGCTGCAGCACCTGTCTGATGCATCAAAGAGATGCAAAAGTCAAAATCATCTGAAAGGGTTCTTGACTCAGCACTTCTTAGGACTGCCAAGCGGTGATGATGTAAGCGAAGAGAAGACTTCAGTGAGACACATTCCACTTCTTCAACATTCTCAGAATGGCAAGCCGAATTCAAAGCCTGCTGCAAATTGATAGTTTTGCTGGGAGATGCGCACGCAGCTTCCCTGGCGGCCTGAAAACACCGACATGTCCAAATGTTCTGACAAAGTCTGTTATCTGGAGATTTCGGTCTGGAGATTTCTGGGGCATTCGGTCATCATCTCTGTGCAGGGCTTAAAGCACATCCTCCAAACCTCTAGGGCGTCGGCCTTCGGTTTCTCAACGCTTGCTTCCTGCACAACAAATGCTGCTGCAGGATCAAAATGGTGCTGTCCATTGCCGTTCTATGTTCCACCGTTCATGCATCGACACAATCCGTGCTTGATCCGCCAAGGGCAAAGCAGCAAACTGTACAGAAGCCTAGAGGGAATCAGAACACCCCAGAAGTGGTCAATTTTTGCCACTCTTCTGACTCTGATATGGGATCACTGCAATACAGAGTGCACCCATGAGATGTCGCCCCTCAGGTCCTTTTGCCGAGATGCCTGCATTGCTATCGCTCAGTGAAGGAAAACCGCGTGGATCAAATGGTCCAGTTTTGCCTGCCAGAGCAATGGTCGCAAAGAAGACTCAGAGACTCTGCCAATTTTGAAGCATGGATTCAATTGCAGCACAAGGGGCCTGGTCCAAAGAAGCCACCCAGGACTGGACTGCTCTCAGCTGCTGCGCCTCCAAGCTGCAAAAGAATAGGAAGATTTTTGGCACCCACATCTTGCAACGTAATCCTGGGATTCTAACCTACTATCCACCACCAATCAGCTGTCGGCTTGCTGATTGCAAAGTGAATTCAATCTTCAATGCAATGTTGACACAGAAATTGCATGCGGTGTGAGTCCAAGACAGATTGGGGAGCTATGGAATGAATTGTGGAATCCAATCTTGTGATTGGGAAAGGCGGTGTTCAAGACTGTAGTAACAGGGTGCCTTTCAACCAACCTTTCCAAGCGCCCTGTCAAGGCTACCCCCTTAAAAGCGTGCCTGACATCTGTCCCTCAGTGCCTGCAAGGTTTTCAGAACCAAAGCATTGCACTTGAAGAAAAGACTCGACATGTGCCTCAAGTCTTGCCGAGCATTGTTGCTCCTGCCATGTGCTTACGCAATTCTCAACTCATCCTGTCACCCAGCGACGTGCAGCCATTGAACTCTTAACCATAGTAAAGCATGATCCAGGCATCACGTCTCAGCAACAGCTCCTTCAGGTCAAACGCCCGTTGAGCTGACATCAGTTGCCTTTCCTGCTTCACTGCAGCGGATCGTAGCCTGGCGCAGATTTCAATCGCAAATTCAGAAATGGGGGCTGTGGCTATACCAGAATTTGTCTCATCAAAACCACTGAAAATTGATTTGCACCTACGTTCCAATCATTTTAATGGCACTGCAAGCCTGGTCGATTCAATGATTGACCACTTGAGTGGAAGCAAATGTCACCACGTTCTCTGTTTTCTCTGTTTGCAACTTTCCGGGTGAAACTGCTCCAAAAACACTCAGTTTCCAAGCAGCTCAAAGTCGTCTGCCTGGCGGATTGGTGAAGAAAATGACAACGCGATTCAACTGAAGAAGCAAAAGAAGCAGCAGCTGCGGCACTTGCGTTTCCTCGTTGGCAAACTCCTTGATGTGCCGTCTCATCTTGGAACCTTCTGCCCAAGTGATGTGATCCTGCACAGAAAATGACAGAAATGGGTTCCAAAATGGTCTCATATGATTTTCATGTCAAAGACGTCCGACTCTTTCAATTTTACACAAATGCTGAACCCAGCTCACCCATGTCCTCCATATCACGGGTGATGTGCAGAGCAGGGTTTGTCACCACATCAGGGCCAATCCGGATCTCTCCCTTGATCAGAGGTGTCATATTCAACTGCGGACTGATGCTGCTTCAGATGCTGCTGCAAACACATTTAAAGCAATCGTCTTTCCCAGATTGCTACCCTGGTAGCCTGCTTGATGTAGCTTATGGCCTTGCTCAGCCCATCAGCAAACCTCAGCACATGGCAAGCATGGCACTCTGGCCCTCTGGACAAGCAATAGCACAGTTACCTCTAAGATCTCTGCACACCAATGTGGAACCACTGCTGAGTGGAGCGCTTCATTCTCACAATAACCACTGCAAGTCTCCGTCTGCAAAATGTGGAGGCTGGGATCTCGTGACAGTCCTTGCAGCAACAGGAGAATTCCCACACCAAGCAATTTGGTCAGGCAAGAGTGCTGATCTGCAATTTGTTTTGTTTCAGTGCAGAGGCAGCTGATTTCAAAACATTGGGTTCTTGAAAACAAGATGATAAGCCCGGTAAGCCCAGGTCCTCTAAGCTCTGATTGTTGTTGATCAGACCGAGACTGTACAGCTTGTCCAGCAAAATCTCGGTCATCTTTATTCTGTCTTCGTCGGAGGACTGGCGTTCAGGCATTCGCACCGTTCTGACGATGGAAATGAACTGCCAACAGAGTGATATTGTGTCATATTGGATTGCGTGAATCAAGTTCAAATCGCAGGCTCGATTACAGGTGGGTTCAACATCTTTCAACCTCAGCTCCCCAGAGAAATACGAGAACAAATCCCGCTTGGACCCGGTTGGAGGGCTAGAATCACCTTGGAATTCTATCCAGTGTACTCAGCTTGCAGTGTCTTTTTTCTGATATCTTCGGGTCCTGCCTTAAGTTTCCGAAGCCGTGCACACAGCATCATGATCAGCTTGGCAACTTTCTGATACCTTTTGGCATCATTGGCATCAGCCAGGATCAACCCCAAGTTGTCAAAATGGCAGAGTAACATAAAGTAGCATAAAGTAACCTTTACATCTCTGAGGAAACGATCTGGTTTAGGATGTTGAGGGAATCTCAAACCATTTACAATCAGAAAGGATGGGTGTGGTGTTTCACAAGAACCAAGACCTGCATGGGGGATGTTTCCTCCAGATTCGCAAGAGACTAGTCAATTTAAATCGTCATCATACCATACAAGCCAAATTGAACGTGACTATATATATATATATTCTAGGCGGGAGTTGTATGTTACATTGTAAACCACTTGTTGTGGACTGAGTAACTTTGTATAGTCCTCTCGATCTTCGATCTGGTATCGACGCAAGATCTGCGACTCCCTGACCTCAAGCATGAAAGTCTGGAGTATTCCAATCATCTCCAGAATCAGATTAGTAATAATCATGCAGCTGTGGCCAGCTATGGCCAGCTATTCCGGATCATTCTGGTAGCTATGGTCAGTCAAATCATGCAGCGCCAGCCCAATGAGTTTCTCACATTTTTTGTAGATTTCCAGTCATAGAAGTTGACCTTCGAGCTGAGGAATTGAAACGAAAATATCAAAATCAACCGATTGATTCCGAATCACAAGAAGCAGAGGAGATCAGAAGAGATCAGCAGGCCTTCTTCAACAACCTCTGCTCGTGATGCTTCAGCTGTCGCATGGCTGCGACAAAAGGTAGCTCCAGCTACCAGCAAAGCCAATACAGCTGCGTAGCGGCGAAACTCTTTCTACCAGCTCTCTTCCAAAATGTCATCTGATGGCTGCAACTCAATTTTAACATGTTTCAACAATAGGATCTTTGTGAACCAAATGAATGCAGAAGCAATAAAAAAGCTGCGCCTTTCAGAGGCTTTCCGGTGCGTCCAAGCAAGCTGCTCATCCAGCATTCGGCAGCACTGGCAGAGCAAACTTGTTGAACATACGCTTCTGCACCTTCATATTATTTCATGTTCAATGTGAATTGAGAAGGAGAATGGAACCTATATCATTGAAACATCCAGATGTCACCTGAGCCGTCTTGAGCATTGAACATGTTGTTTCAATGAATGCTCTCGCCTTTTCTGAAGAAATTTCCGGAACTCATTGGATTTCATTGGTATCCACAAAGTGGATGTAAGTGGACTTTCTTCAGGCAATGCTGGATAGGACTACTGCTTCTCAGCACGACGGAATGCCTGTTTACGGAGAAAAGCTTCAAGAATGGGTCTCTCCTGCGACGTTTCCGGAGGTTCACTCTGTCAGGCTTCAGAAGCCACAAACGTCACAGATTGTGGTTTCGGGGCACTGGAGCACCTCATTCTTCCTGTCTTCCACACCATTGCATATCTCACAAAGGGCCTGGCTGTGAATTGGTTCATCGACTGTGTGCCTCTTGGGGTCTCTTGTCTTTCTGCATGACACTGAGTCACAAGAATTGTCGGATCTGTACTTATTTAAGCTCAGCCATTTATATCCATTTATGCGATCGCTTTGTCATAAAATTGCCTGCTGTCTCTGAATTTGGAACCTCCACATACCGCCCCAAAGTTGTTCTCTTTGGTTGAAACAAAGCCTCAAGAGCTGCCGGCACCTTGTCAAAGTCCTTCACTGAACCATGGCCTCGGTCAGATGAAAAGGTCCGAGCTGAGTCTGATGCGCCAAATCTGCAAGCACCCGACTTGGTATGCTGGCCATTGTCGCTGCAACTGGGGAAGTGCTTGACAAATGGCTCTGTTGGAAAACTGTGCACACCAAAATCTTCCCAAAGCGGTCAATATCACCGGAATCTGGCATGGATATCTGAACGGCCGGAGGGTACCAAATTCTGAGACATGCCATCCCGTTTGTCCACCTAAGCCCAAGGGTGGGTTTGCTGGGAACATCTGTTCAAACATCTTCTCCCTAGTTGTCCCTCCCATCTCCAAGTGTCCTCACGTTCTTCCTTTCTTCCCTTTCTCATGGGACAAAACAGCTGCGGGCAACGTGCAAATCGTGTGAGAAACGTCTGAGATTATCTGTGGGTTGCATAGAATGACGAATGTCCCAAGAACGAAAATACATAATACATATGCAAAAGGTGTCTCAGGTTTTCACCCAAGCTCCCAAGCTCAGAAGGCCAAATGCAACAAATCTGCTGTACACAAGTGCAAAGCCACTGAGGATTCATGGTCTAAGTGAAAAGGATGAAAGTAAGTCAGTCCCTGGCAGCTGCAGTGCATCAGAAGGCTCAGCCGCGGGTTTGCTCACAAATATGATTCAAGCCTTAGCTAAAAATGAAAAAAACACACGTCCAGCAGCACAGAAAGGCACTGCACTACACTGTGAAGGGGTGAAATACTGCTTTGAGGCTACCACGCTCAGCATGGTTTCGCCTGGCTTTAGCGGAATGCAGTCGAAGTATGTCGAAGCACGATTGGGACCGTTCGGACTGTGCCCGAACGCAAACCAACTGGACCCTGGGATTCTGACTTGTGGCATTGCGTGCGGCAGCATCGGCCGTACCAACAGTTGCCGCGACCTGGCACCAGAGTTTCTTATTGTTTCCTCCAACTGCTGAGATACCCTTAAACTTCCTTAAAAATTCCTTAAAATTCCTTAAAATTCCATAAAATTCCTTAAAATTCCTTTAACCATAAAATTCCTTTAAATTAAAATTCCTTAAAATTCCTTAAACCATAAAATTCCTTAAAATTCCGTAAAATTCCTTTAAATTCCTTAAAGTTCCTTAAAATTCCTTAAAATTCCTTAAAGTTCCTTAAAGTTCCTTAAAGTTCCTTAAAGTTTGCTGTGTTTAAAGTTCCTTAAAGTTCCTTTGTGGTTGGTGGATTCTGAGGGTTGCTGGATTGGTGTAGTGCTTCCGCCATTTGGTCAAAAAGGTTTTCGTCCATTTCTTGCTTCATACCGTTAATATACATATAGCAGGGCATATTCAATTCTTGATTCTATAACGCGTCGTTTCTTTAAGTGTTTTTGGTTCTGTTGCTCTAAAAATTATGTTTTTAACAAGTGTCCTAAATTGATGTTTTTTGAACGCTAAAACGATGGTTTTAGGACACTTGTTGAAGTAAGGATTTTTTGTCTTCAAAAGTTCAGGGTGAAACGATTTGTCCGTGTTTGATGGTTTGGCTATAAAAGTTGAGGGTGAAACGATTTGTCCGTGCTTCATGTTTTTGTCAAAAGTTGAGGGTGAAACGATTTGTCCGTGTTTGATGGTTTGGCTAAAAAAGTCCAGGGTGAAACGATTTGTCTGTTGTTGCTTGTTCGGTGAATGATTGATACTCGGTTCTGGGTATCGTTGATACTTGGATACTGGTATCAGGGTATCATTGATACTTGGTTCTGGGTGTCGTTGATACTTGGATATTGGTATCTGGGTATCATTGATACTCGGTTTGGGGTATCATTGATACTCGGTTCTGGGTATCATTGATACTCGGTTCTGGGTATCATTGATACTTGGATACTGGTATCAGGGTATCATTGATATTCAGTTTGGGGTATCATTGATACTCGGTTCTGGGTATCGTTGATACTTGGATGCTGGTATCTGGGTATCATTGATAATTACTAGGGTTGGGTATCTGCGGTTATGCAGGCAATATGTGAAAATTACGCTTGGATGACTCACCCACAAAACATCTCAAGCGTCACAGTTTTTTTCACCGGCGAAGCTCACATGTATCCTGCATCCCTCAACTTCTGCTCATCCTCTTGAAAGAGCTTGGCGACGAAATGCCAGTGCTTCAAAGCCAGAGCTTCGTGAGGAGCCAGCAGACTGCGTTCTTCTCAGGACGCAGTCTGCTGGCTCCTCACGAAGAAGCTTCAACTTCATTTTGGTGTCTTCGTCGCTCTCTGGGAGATACCCCATGGGTCCTGCCCCTGCCACCTGGAGGAGATAGTCCTTCACTTCCCTGCTCAACCCGCTTGATGACCGCATCCGCACCTTTCTGACCTTCTCTGGAGACGTTTCGCAGTATCAAGTCCAAGGCGCGCAAGTTGCCCCCCACGCGGATGTAGCAGTGCTTCAACACCTGCTCCATGTCATCTTCGGCAAGAACCTTGTTCAGCGTCCGGAAGTCGTTTCCCTGCTTTGCCACCTCCTTGACCACAGATGTGAAGTCTTCGAAAGGCAGCGGTCGCACCACAACCAAATCTGACATGTCAAACCTTTCGGTGATGATGTCGGCCACAGCAGACACGCTGACCTCCAAAATGAACTTGCACGCGGCATTGTCGTAGGTGATGTTGCGAGCGAAGGCACCGAGGGTGGAAGCAATGTCATCACAGGCATCCCTACTAAATTTGTCTCCGCGGCTTTTGGTTGTGAGTTGCAGGTATACCAGGACGGCACTGCCTGTTCGGCGCTTGCACGTCTCGTTCACCTTTTGCAGCATATACTCCACTTGTTCTGGGTAGTATCGCGGCAAATTTACTACTTGCAATGCTTTGGGCAGCGCTTCATTGAGTTTCAAGTCCTCACCAGGACGGCTTGACATCTTGAGCGGGAGCACCCTTTTGCCATTCTTCACATGCTCACACATGAGATTGTTCAGCATGGTCCATGGTTGATTTCCCAATGCCTTGGGAACCACTGACCACCAAGAAGGAAGGGGTGCTCAAAGCTTTACGTTGAGGTGAATTGGTGAAGTCCTTGATGTATTCCTCCTCGACCGGCCGCGCAGGGGCGGGCTCTGTCCTTTCCAGCCTTTGCCCAGCCTTCCTCACTGCCCTGTTCATGAAGAAGCCAGGAAGGAACCTTTGAATGAGAGCTTGGAGAACCAGCACTACGACGCTCCCTGTGCTCAACAACGTCCAACCAGTTTTAACGGTCTGCGCCGGAAAAGCCCTTGCGGGCTGTGTTCGTGCATGACCGCTTGGAAGGACGAACCGGCCTGGCACAGGCTCAACCTGCCTCACAAAGATGCATCTGCGGAATGTCGAAGGAAAGGGACAATACATCGGTTCAGTCAATTTGTGCCAAACTGGCTTTGGTATTGAAGGATGCTTGATATGCAAAACCAAACAGGAACCACAGCGCCTAACCTCAATCAATACATGAATTTGAAGCAAATCATTCGACATCTTTGAACAACAGTTTGGTAGAATTTGAACCTGAACCTACACATAGAAACTCTGACCACCTCAACAACTATCCCCTTCATTCAATCCAAACATTATCACAACAACCTCAACAACACATTTAGCAAGATAATCAAAAAGAAACAGTCAAACATTTCAAACTATAACGTGAAGAAAAAACAAAGCAACATCCCACCTGACCTTTGACCTGTCTAGTCCTAGCATCCCTGTTTTACCATTTTTTTCTGTGGCTTCCAGAATTCGCACCGTCAGTCCCAGCGACCCCAAAACATGATTTTCACCTTTCCTGTTGGCAAGGCCGGCTCTGGGCACACCAGCGCCGCTTTTGCCAGGGCATTTGCAGTAGCACTCAAAAGGTTTGTCCAGAAGTGAGGGATGCTCCATTTCAAACTACTATGGGGAAAATGATGATCAACCACTAGATTTTGGGGACAAATACATATGGTTCAGGCATGTCATCGAGGATTAAGGGGTGAGGATCTGGATGGCTGTTGATGTGTCATCGGAAAAAAAAGACAAAGCACGAAGCACAGATAAGCAAGTATCAGATGAGTACATGAAAAGATAAAGAAGAACCATTGGGTCCTAGCAAGGTTAAAAAAAGAGTTGTTCTACCCACTGCCACCTTTGAAACACGTTTTCTTGAAATATGGCTGGTGAAACAAACTACATAAAATTCCTGAAAATTCCTTAAAATTCCTTAAACCATAAAATTCCTTAAAATTCCGTAAAATTCCTTTAAATTCCTTAAAATTCCTTAAAGTTTGCTTAAAGGGCTTAAAGTTCCTTAAAGTTCCTTAAAATTCCTGAAAATTCCTTAAAATTCCTTAAACCATAAAATTCCGTAAAATTCCTTAAACCATAAAATTCCTTAAAGTTCCTTAAAATTCCTTAAAATTCCTTAAACCATAAAAGTCCTTAAAATTCCTTTAAATTCCTTAAAGTTCCTTAAAGTTCCTTAAAGTTTGCTTAAAGGGCTTAAAGTTTGCTTAAAGGGCTTAAAGTTCCTTAAAATTCCTTAAAATTCCTTAAACCATAAAATTCCTTAAAATTCCGTAAAATTCCTTAAAGTTCCTTGAAGTTCCTTAAAATTCCTTAAATTGCTTTAAGTCCCTTAAAATTCCTTAAAATTCCTTAAAGTTCCTTAAAGTTCCTTAAAGTTTGCTTAAAGGGCTTAAAGTTCCTTAAAGTTCCTTAAAATTCCTGAAATTTCTTAAAATTCCTTAAACCATAAAATTCCTTAAAATTCCGTAAAATTCCTTACAATTCCTTAAAGTTCCTTTAAGTTCCTTAAAATGCCTTAAATTCCTTTAAATTCCTTAAAATGCCTTACAATTCCATAAAAGTTCCTTAAAATTCCTTAAAGTTTGCTTAAAGGGCTTAAAGTTCCTTAAAGTTCCTTAAAATTCCTGAAAATGCCTTTAAATTCGTTAAAATTGCTTAAAATTCCTTAAAATTCCTTAAAGTGTCTTTAAATCCCTTAAAATTCATTAAAATTCCTTGAAATTTCTTTAAAATTCCTTATTGTTTCTTCCAACTGCTGACATGCCCAGGTGTCAAAGTTTTGCCTCGAGCCCGTTCTGGCAGCTCCTGGAGGTCTCTGCTGATCAGTGGTGCTGCAAACATGTTGTAAGGGCTGCACTGACACAGGCCAACAAGAAACAACAAGAAACAGAGAACAAAACTGTGAAGGTTGGCTGAAGATCTCCTCTGCGCTAATGCGCTCACGAATGGAGTACACCTCACCAGATCAGCAGACAATGCAAATCTCAGATTATTTGATCCAACTCTAAGCAAATTCATGCAAAATCTCAGGGCTGGACAACTCCTCGTAGAATGTTTTGGCTGCACGTATTGCAGGATGGGAGATCTGTCAACGCCTCAGCATGCTCCCTGGGAACTTTTGTGAGTGGATTGACAAGAGTTTTTACTAAGCTGTCGCCCAAAACTGAGGTAGAAGGAATCACTGTCACCCTCCCACTGCCGTTGCATCCCTGAGGATGCTACATCTCTTGAAGCAAGAAAGTCTGGAGGAGCACCTACAAAGTCAGCGGCTCACAAGTGGCAGCTTCTGCCGCTCTGCCAATCAATATAGCATGTTGTTTGGGGGGCTTTCAATCGCTTTCATGCACATTTCACAATTTGCATTTGTGAAATGTCCAATTTGCCACCTGCAGCATGCCAACGAACAGCAGGAGCATTGACCTGATCTGCGCGTATCTGATTTATCCTGATTCAGTACAAACCTGGTTTCATAATCTTCGGTGTCTTGATATTTGATGATATTTGAAGGCTCGCTTGGCACACGGCAGGGTTGGGGGCTGCTAGCAAGTCAAGAATTGCCTTGCCGCAAGCATCTGTTACATGTCCCACTTTAGACAAATTGCTAGGAATGTATTGCTTGCTGGTAGTAACTAGCACACTTATTCTTTATTGCTCGCCTGCAGCAAGCTCAGACCTTTGGCAGCAAGCCATTCCTGTCACATCTGTCACGTGGTCAATTTTGGAATGGAAATTGCTCGTGGGTGTGTCGAACCAGCCTGTAATATCTCCTCTTCAAAGGTATTGCGAGCCTGTAAAAAGCTTTGCATCCAGCTCTTCTCCGACAGGACCACTCTTGTATACTCTCGTGGCTTCAATGTTGCTGTTTTACCAAGGATCAGACAAGGGCCGTTTTTGTCAGGGCAGTTGCAGCCATGGGATTCGATACTGCAGCTTCAGCAGCAGAACCTGATATATTATATAAGTGTACCAAAGCCAGGATGGACACAGCCTATACAGAATACATCAGAATACCATAGCCCCCGTATTGTCTCGCATATTGTCCCATCTGGTCCCATATTGTCCCATAGCCCAATGGCGTCTCCAAGCGACGCAAGGGTCTCCATGCGGGAACACCGCATTTTGCACACGGAGGCCTCACAGCCTCAGGAGGTGGTCAGCCAATGCCCAAATCGCCATGGACCATGTAGCCACAGCATGCCACAGCATGCCACAGGAGGCCACAGCTCAGATTGCAACGCCAGGCTCTGCCCAGGCATGCCTCCCACCCCCCAAATGGTGAAATTGGCTGAACGGGGTATGATTCTGGTTCGGTATGGTTCAGTATGGTTCGGTATGATTCATTGATTATACATTCGGTTTACCATATTACTGTTTTTCTCCAAGATACATGCAGTTCTATACAGTCTGCTATTTATGGACGACAGAAAAAACCAACATCTCAGGCACACACGCTGGTTCAGCCTCAGCAACAAAGATCTGCCAACCGAAAAATACGTGTTCTCTGACCCAGATCGAGGGGTGAAAAGGTTTCAAGTTTAGGGCATTAAATAGTATTGAATGATTAAGTACTGATTAAATGGTCATCATGTTTCAATCTCGTGACAAGTTCTTGACACAAGTACCGCACTTCAAAGTCCGAATCATCGGAATCCATGTCGCTGTGCTCGCTCCTTGGTTCAGAGATTATGGGGTCAAAACCATGTTTGATATGTTTGGTTGATTATTGACAGAAACCAACGAAGCATAATGAAGCAACTCGCAAGACCTTTCGTTACAGTCTGCGGAGTTCCAATCGGCTGAGTGTGGGTCTCACTTTCAGCATCCATTGCTTCCGCCGCAGCAGCTGCAGCAACTGTGAATCTCACAAGACCTGAAGCAGACTGTCATCATTTGCAAAGGGATCTGTCAAAAAAAAGTGAAACATTAGTTGTGATCTTGACTTGTACATCCCGTCCGATTTCTCTCTGCTGGAACTTGTCCGGCATCACTTTGTCAAGGCCGCTTCCACACATAAACTCATTCGCGGTGTGCCTGCTGCCGCATCGCCTGCACCCCGAAGCTTGCCCAAATCATAACCGTTGTCCTGGGCTCAGAGATCAAAGAACCAGCTGCGAATCGTTTTGCTTTTGAACAAAAAACAAAGAGCTCTGTGGCCGAAACATGTAGTGGATCACGACTATCGAGATCTGCCAAAGCCGCCAGTGATCGCTGCTTCTCCGGGTGCGCCTTTGCAAAGAAACCCGTGGGTTCCAAGATATTGGCAGGTTCCATGCCAAATCGAGTCAAATCCCTCAGATCCCATCACAGCCCTTTTTTGGCGACATCTTTGGCATCCACATGTGGCAAAATGTCATCTCCAACCATTTCCACCTGTTTTCCACCGACAACTGAATCTGCCAGCCTTCAGAAGACCTTCGATCAAGCCTTGCAGAGCATGATTCTTGCCCACCGCTGCAACAGCTTGTCGGCAAATAGGGCACCTACAAGATCCAAGAGACCGCTGTCAAAAACCAGAAACAAAAATTGATGCAACTAGGGAGAGAAAAGATGGAATTCCTATCTTCTCATTCCCAATCTTGACAGCTTGGGTCTTTTCTGTATGGCCAGCACTGTCGCAGCCTGCCTTGGGAGCTTGTCCCCAGGCCGCTTCAGCCAGCCACCCAAACAGGAGCTGCAAAAGCCTGTAAAATTGGCACGCATGAGTTTCAATAGCAGCAAAACAGGCTCGTAACAATTCAGCCAAATCTCGTTTGATGTATATTACTTGTGGCATAAAAGATCATGACAAATGACCCTGAAATTCAAACCTTCGCACAGCATGCACACTTCCCAAACTTGCTGGCGTCACTGTGCACGCATGGTTGAACCTTAGCCAAGGGAATAGTAAGTTCAAATCTACCGATTGGTCCGCTTGGGTCCAAGGATGTCCAAGGCAGTCCAGGGCACTGACGCTTGTAGCACGGTGCATCACCTCCTGACAGATGGCACAAGTCGCCTCGCTGAAGATCTGCTCCGCCTCAAGTGAGAGCACCGGCCAAGCTGTGCCGGGGGTGCTGCCACCGGAAAAGAACAAATCACGAAGAAATGTTTTTCGACAATGCTCATGGACTCATGATTGTCGCCAAATACAGCAACGTCTTGAGCCCCGCACGTCAAGGTCTGATTTGCTGCCTGCACCTGCTGTGATCAGCATCCGTTAAACTCTTTATCCACCAGAAGGCATCCTAAATCATGCAAGCAACAAATTACCGCCCGTGCAAACGGCACGGGAAGCATTCTTGAGGAAGAAGCTGAAGTATTGCGCGCCTTCTGTCAATCTCCGCTTCTTGCGCAGTGAAGCCTTGAAATCTTGGAAGACATCATCCGACGGCGGAAGGTTTATATAGAGATTTTGATCTTGGAAGGCGCAAACCATCAGCAGCGTTGTGTTAGGCCAAGAAGCAGCCGCAGCAGGGGCATGAAACAGAAATGCAATTGCTGCAGCTTGCCCCACCTGAGAGGAAACTCTTCAGCATGAGTCCGTGCCCATGGCCAGGTGACATGGTAAGGCTGAACAGTAGGAAGTGTTCCGCTGATCGCTGCAGGACAAATAAATAGATCCAAACCCTTCACCGCAAGGGACAACTCCTTTTGCAGACCGAGTTTGAATGGAACCGTTATTTTCACATGTTGAGAAAGTCCAGTCATCAGATCTAAGGAAAACACCTTTGAAGAAGGTAGCACTTCAAGCAAATCCTGCTGGCTTGCTTCAAAAGGAGATGGAAAATCTCCCCAAGGTAGTATGAAGCTCCAACTCGTGAGGACAAAGAACAAGTTTTGCTGAGCCATCCCGCCTGATCCTTGAGGCATGCTCTCTGCGTGCCATCCTGGTCACATGATGTCACAATATGTCACATGAACTTGGCTGGAGAATTTGGACTGTGACTTGTGACTAGTCGTGATTGCTCTCCAGCTGACCTTGTGCAAAAGCTTCTTGTTCAGCAAAGTCCCATTCCTGGAGCAATCCTGCAAGTACAGAGAGGCAGAGTATCTTTTGAAGATGTTCTCCAGATTCTCCACAAACAGGTTCAGAAACAACAAAGATAGGACTCCAGGACTCAAAAGAAACCATGAAGAGACCATGAAGAGACCTCGAGCTCGTACTCCGGAATGCCATCCGAATCAACTTTCCGATGAATACGGAATTGCTCTCCGGAAACTCGCCTTGGTAATCTAACATGGCACAGACCTTGCCAGGTTGGAATGATGGGTGAGTCAAGATCCAAGATGCGCCAAGTGGCGGGTCACCCAAAATAATGCCATTCGACTCATCTCTGCCTGCACCGACTGCAGTTTCATACCTTATGTTGTCATGTGTTCATACCACAGTGTAACTGTTCCGGTGGCTCCGTTGGCCTACGCTGGTAACAGCTGCTCCCAGCCTCTGAGGGTGAAAAAATACACAGCGCGAACAGTCTCACATCAAGTCTACACCAAGCAGTGCCAGCATGAGGCATGTATATAACTTATCTGTATGAATAAATGCGCTGCAGACAAGACACCAAATGTCCTTCGCAGTGCTTGGGTTTGTGGATGAAAGGACCTTGCCCAATTAATCGAGAAAAGAATCCAGCTGTAGCAACTGGTTGCCCTCTTCTTGAGGCTGGGACCGCTGTGTTTTCATCATCAATTCCGAGTCCTGCACCTAAAACCGGAAGGTTACATTCAGCTCACAAACCGAATGTAGCGTGGAGGTTCCATGGTACAGAACGCTACAGACGGCCTGTGTCTGGAAGTGGATCCTCTTGCATGTCAAGGGTCAAAGTGGCTGCTCTCTTCACACCTACATTACAGCAAGTTCATGGTGATTGAAGCACACGCCTCCTGGTTTTCAATCATGGTGTTCAGGCTTTAAAAAAGCTTAAAACACCCAGATGCAGCTGATGCACCTTTCCCTGCTTCCACAGGATCGGGAAGGTCTACTTTTGGCTCTTCCAATTTCTCCGGCACTTTCTCGGGCTCAGTTGCAGCTTCTTTGCTTGCAGCCTTGATCCAGACCCATTTCCAAAACAAGGCTGCGGGCCTGCTAAGTTTCTTGGGGCATCTGCTTTTTGTTAATGTTAGTGTGTTGATGTGTGTTGGAATATTGAATAATATTAAGATACAGACTCTAAACTGAAGATTAACTGAGGATGATACATCGCTGATATCACCAGATATTACACCTGGGATAGTTGCAGTTGACCTGAGCAATCCCCGTCGCAAATCTGCTGGATCCTTCTCAGTTGGCAATCATGGCATACACACTGGTATGGTCAAAAATGGGCAACCAAGATCCACAGGATGGGTTTCCAAGTTCCAAATTTCAACCCTTTCTCCAGTTCTAGCAGAGCCAACAGTTTCAGATGCAGGTCACGACTCAGGCTTCTCTTCGAGCAAATCCAGTAGTCCATCAGCAGCCTCGGTAGGTCCTTGGCAAAACAAAGCATGGAGGTCGTTGCGTGCAGTTCCTACGAACGTAAAAATACCTCAAAACGGGCAGAAAGCGAAACCCTTCCTGCACGGGTTGCAAAATTGTTCCTATTCATTTCCGTCGATGGTAATTGCGCTTAATCGCTGTTGCCATCTGTCATGAAAAAAATATGGAAAGCGCTGATCTTGCAAAAGAACTGAGGAACGAAGAACTTGAGTGTGCTGCCAGCTGCGGCTTCGGCCCCCAGAATCAATGTTTCGGCCTCAGCATTGGCTTTGTAAAGCCTGTTGTTCAACATTATTCAACAGCTTAGGAAACACGCTGTCCATCCCCAGGAGCAAACATCATCGAAGTTTTCGGCCATGACAGCAATCCAGTTGAGCCAGTCGAGCCTGATGTATATATATATATACATATATATACAATTATATACATATTATGCACCAAAGGAAGGCTCTTGCAAAGCTCATCAGGCCCTCTGTCAAGGCTTCGAGTGTTTAGATGTGGCCATGTGGAGGTAGAACAGCACAGCACATCACAAACAGCAAAGATGGAGACAATTCATAGCCCTGCCATGCCCTGCCTGTAGCGTGGCTGCCCTCACAGTCACACCCGACTCGCTATTGTTGCAATCCCGTAATGTGGATGAAACGAGCTATGTAGCCAGCCATAATGTTGCATTTTGCCGTTTAGTTGGCTACAGCTGTTGCTTTGTTTGCGATGTTTGCGGATCTACACATTGAACAAATCTAGCTCATAGGATCCATAGGCTTACGCAGTACTTTCTCTTCACCGAGCCTGAAAGCTACAAGTTGGTAAAGGTGGACTGCTACTGTAGCAGCTGGTTGAAGCAGAGATATCAAGCTAGTAGGACTAGCGCAACAAGAGACATCCCGCAAAAAAAAAAGTTTTTCAGCGAAACATGCTCGGCTCACGAAGGGCTGCAGAAGCAGACCGGGCAAATCTGATGATGCCCAAAGGGCCGTGATGGCTGTGACCACTTTGTGTCCTTCACTTTAAGTGATGACAAGGCCTTACTGTCTCAGCGCCGAGTCTTATTTGTCATCGCTTCCTGCAGGTGCCGGAGGCCACTTTCATAACAGAATACGGCAACACAGACAGATCGTGATTTGGGGCTGTCAAAACGTCACAAAGTTGGGCAAAAAAGTTGCGCAAAGCGTGGAACGTGACATGGTGATGCACGTAGTCGACAGGGTCCTCTTTTTCCCCTTTCCCTTTCCTTTCCCTTTTCCTCCACCTTTTCCTCCACCTTTTCCTCCGCCTTTTCCCTTCTTTCCCTTGGTCATAAATCAGTTTGGCTGTTGCCTTGTCATACATCGATGCCACATTGAGCTCTGAACCCATGGAGACATCGACATGTCATCCATGGAGGACTTGTCATTCTGCTTACTGCGCTTCCTGGCACAATAATCCTTTGAGAGATTCGAAACAGACTCTTTGGAATCCAGGGAAACTCATCCGTTCACTGTATTGTTCCAACATAGCCCATGTTGATTGTCGTACCAACAAGAGGTGGGGTTGACCCAAATGTTTTTGGCTCCATCTATCACTTTGGCAAAAATCTGAGAATGGTACTTTTTGCCACCAAAGCCATACTTCTCGTCCAGATTTTTCCTCTTGGCCGACTTCTTGGCCTGACTCTCAGCAGGTTTTAGCAACTTGAGGCATGTTTTAGAAGAGCTGGATGCAGAATCTAGCAGTGGTGGCCTTGCCCTTTCCTTTTCCTTTCCTTGGTTAGAGCTGTCGTAAATGCATTGACAAGAGCGAAATGCAGACGAAAAAGCCAGACTCTCGTCGGCCCAAGGCTCCCTTCAGGTTCCTTTCTTCTCTGCTGACGTGAAAGTATGTCTTCCAAATCCTAGGAATCCAAACATGCCCAGGGAGGCAGTGTGCGAAGAAAGCCACTGCTAGCCCAATCAGTCCTGCTCATCTGTGTTCTTGCCCTCAGTTTTCTTTCGGTTGCGCCACTGTGCAATTTGCTCTAAGGAGTCTCGCTTCTCCTGCTCTGAGTCAATGGAAAGGGATGTTCCTTGGTTTCTTGCTTGCAGACACCGCACGCAAAATAGCCAGGGCCTTCGCACGTTCCTCCAACTTTTTTGTCTTTGCCTCAGAATCCATCCAAAACCGGCTGATGGTGCTGGCATTCGTCCATCCCTTTCCAAAATCCTGACAAGATGAAAAGAAACCAGCCTTCTTGGCAAACTTTTTGCCTGCTTGGGCTTTCTTTCTATCTTCAACAATCTGCAGAGCTGTGAAGAGGCAGCGTGGATTATCTCTGAATTGCATTGAATTTCTAAATTATTACATTATGTGTTGCATTGTCTTGCGCAAACTTTAGGACCTCCTTGCAACAAAGCAATTTCCAACCCCTTGGTCGGGAGATGCCCGTTCGAGTGGACACCCAGTTCAATAGCTCACTTCTTCTTGAATCCGACTTGGTTGAGAACAACTCTGTACCGTCTCTACCTTGATTCTGCGTTCTTCTTCTGCAGCTTGTTGTCGAACTCTGTACATCTGCTTGTCAGGCCTGAGAAGCTGAGGACTGACTTGCAATGGACCAAAAATTGGACTGGTTTTCGTGCCGAAATTGTTTGCATAGACAAACTACGGCAGTGAACAAGCAGCAGAGCACAATGCCAATACAACATCCTCGGGTCTGAACCGCATCATTTCTGCATAGAAATCATTGGGTCGAGTACACGGGATTCGCATCACCCGCAGCCTGGAATGAATAGAATCTTGCAAAAAAAAAGTTCAGAGAGACAGCCCCGGAAAGAAATCACTTCTTGCTGGCCTGCGGTAAGCCTCTGCTGCTGCTTCTTGGGCCATGCCTCTGGATGGAAAGCTTTGGACGCACTGCTCTGGTGAGCTATCGTACAGGTACTGGATGGTACTGATACATACTGGGACTGTTTGGGAACTTCCAAGTAAGGGAGCATAGTCCGTCAGCTTTGTGCAAATTCGATCCAGCTTGCCATGAGACAACCCATATCTTGTAGCCTACCTGCAAACTCCATCACGCCCCACACTTCCGACCTAAGAAAGCGCTCTCCAGCTTGACTCCATCTTTGGCGGTGACCTCACATCGATCAGGTGGATCCTTGCAAAACATGGCACATCATGATTTATCAGTTGATTCACCATGGCTCTGACTCATCTCCAGACTTTAACTTGGTGTCTGACACCTTTGGGCAATTCGCTCTGCCCATCTATGGCCATGGTGTCCTTGGACACGTCACAACATGCATCGATCCCACATCCTGGCTGCAATTGTCGTTGAAAGTTGAGCTTCTGACTACCCATGGCACGCGCTTTGCCCCTGGGGGAACCTTGCAATGGAGTGTATCAGTGGGTGACTCAACCCGAAGCAAAGCTGCCAAGAGGGCGAATGAAAATTCATGGTGTGCCAAAGGTCCCAAGTCCCAAGGATCCCTCTATCTGAATCTCAAGACTTTGCCCCAGTAGGAACTGCCTTGTATTCCAGCTCACTGAGTCGTTGAAGAAGCAGCGGGGCAATGCAAATTCCACGCTTTGCCGTATCCTGAAGCTGATGATCGCTCCAATGTGCTGCTGTGAAAGCCGTGAAAGCCACCACATTCTAGAGAGTGTACTGTGAACAGTATCTACATTTGCGATACATACCTTTGACTCCACCTGCATGTTCCGTCCTGGACCTCATAGTCTTCATCCTCACGGGTTTGTTTTCTGTGTCTCTGCTATGTCACTTAACCCACTTAACAAGGTGAACTCGCAACCTTCTGTAGCTGTAAACATGCAGAAATTGCTTCAGCCAAATGCCAAGGAACAGAACTTTAGAAGTGGAGTATTGCATGGTTGGTTTGAGTGTTCCAATCAATCACGTGGCTCACCTATTCTTCAATATTCTATATGGATCTGTGATGATCTGTGATCTATATCGTGCATTCGCAATAAATCAATTCTAGTTGTTACAAAGTCAGGCCAAGGCCTGATCAGGTTTGGGCTCTTCTCCCAGGATGAACTCTCCAGCACCGAGCTTGGACCTATGGCGACAGTCGCAGTGCACCATGAGAAGCAAACGCAAAGGGCAACATCTGTCCTCGCTAAGGCTTCGATGTCTGCTTCTTCCACATCTTCATCCTCTAGCCTTATTCCCGAAACAAAAATCACCTGTATGTATGTGGATGTTTTGTGAATGGACAATAGGAAAGCACAGTTTCCCCTGAGGCCAAGTCTCTGGACCTCCAATCAAATCAGTTTTCTTCTCCTGTTTTGCAAATCAAACCTCTCCGTCTCAAACCTATCCGTCCCTGTTCGCAAACCTTCTCAGGAGTTCATTTGCCATCCCTGAAGCAAGCTTTCACACAGCGATGGAAGTCCTTGGGCTTCCCTCTGCCCATGACGACACACAAAGGCCTGTCACAAAGGCACGGCAACATCCCTGTTTGTCATGTACATTGCGGGTCAGGCCAGCCTCCCAGCCAAATTGAAACAGCACTAGTGGCAAGTGCACATGCGTTCGTTGCACGTACCCTTTCAGACGTGATGATACTTGTACTAGTTGCTGACATGCAAGTCTGATTTGTCACATGTTCTAGCTTCTTAAGTTGAAGCTTTGGATACTCCTGCATGTGGCTTCTCAGTAAGTTTAGCCAAAAAGCTGAAGAACAGGTATTTGGAGGATAATACAAGAGCTTCCACTACAGGCTTTTGGAATGGAATTCTTGCGGAAGATTTTTCCACAATCCACTCACTTCCACCAAAAAACAAGCGACTGCGTTTCCGCTGCTTTTAATCTTGCATGCAGTGCTGAGGTGACCATTCAGCGCCATGTCAGATTTCGGGCAGGAAGTTTCCAAATGTATATAGAGAAGTACAACTCAAGTGACTCAAGTGGCGCATTCTTTTTGAAGAAGTGCAAAGCTATTCAGCAAGAGTTTGTCCATTGCGGTCCTCTTGGCGTGCACCCTAGAGACGGTGTACACTGTGTAAGCAATTTCAGGGGCCGCGGCCGCAACACCCTGACACGTCTGACACCATCGTGATCATCCCCGAGTCCGCTTGCATCATGGCAGTGGAGCACGCAATGCTTACTGCTTACGCAAAAGCAGGCAATGTCGCGGGAATCCGGACCAGCACTGATCCAGAAAAGCATCAGCCCAATGTCCGAACAGGAAAGAATTTTGTCTCCTTCCACAGCCTGTGCCAAATCCTCTCTGAAAAGCTAGGTGCCAATGTCAAGTTCGCCGCAAAAGCCGTAAAAGGAAACCAAAGGCGCAAGCAAACCTGAGAAGAAGGATCGATCTCAATGTTTGCACTGGCTTTTCAGTTCAGTGCGCAAATTGATCTTTGACGTGCACAATATACCCAAACATGTATCCACTGCCCTCCTCAGCATTCGACAAAGGTGCGAGCAAAATCACGCTGAAAGTCTGAGTAGGACAGGAGAGCCGAGAATGCTTGAACAACTCTTTAGATCAATATCATGTCTCGCTGAGTTCTGAGCCAACAGGGTTTCAGCATTATCAGCAAGTGCCTGCACAATAGGGACACGAACCCCCACCGGCATCAACCAACACATTCTTGTGTTAGTCCCAAGTTCTCCTAAGTTCTAGCATGACCCCCGTTACACGAGTCCAACTCTTGAGCTTTTCCACACTTTCAATTTTAAAACTAGCCATCCAAATCCGTTCAAGCAATTTGGGTCAAATCATGGCATGCTGTGTACCTAAACGCTGCTCATCTCAGTCTACTCTCCCTATTAAGCCCTGCTATCAGCCGGCTCACCTGCCGTGCCCGGCGCTTGATCGCACGAGCATATCGTCGGGGGGCTCTGCGCAAGCGGTCCACAAATGCTTCGCCCTGACCAAGTGAATCAGAAGACAGGCTGAAGGCAAGCTGAAGGAAAGTCGAATCGAGTTCCACAAAAGGACTCTAAGGTCTAAGCCCCATTGGCTCACACAGAAAAACATTTTGATGGATCTGAAATTCCAATATCTTGGGGCTCATCCAATTGAATCAAGGGCATCTCACAGAAAATGCTTTTAGTCATGCGTGCGCATCTTTTCTGTGAATTGAGCGTTCGAGATGCCAAGGAAAAGCGTGAAACCAGCGTCTTCTATGCCTTCAATACATTTTGTACCTTGTGGACAACTACTACGGCAGGTATCAGCATGGAGGCCATAATCAATCCGGTAAACCAAGATGGCAATGTGAAATTAGGGAATTGATCTTTGGCCCCTTGTGTCATCAAGAAGCTGTCAGCCAACAGAGTGAATAGTCCAGGTGGTCTGTTACGTGTGAAGGTCCACAGCACGTATAGTGGCAACCACGTTCGGCCTTTCCCCTGACCCCTCATCCATGAGACACAACGTTCCAAGTCTGCATGTGCAGCTGCTGTGGTCTCATAACTTTTCCAGTCACCATGCCCTGCCAGGACCCATGAAAAGTCATGGTTAAGAAGGCCCTCCATGCTCTTGGTTTGCAACTCCCAACTCTGCCAGCATTGAACTCGGTGAGCATGAAGATGTCCCTTGGCTGGTGAGAATGCCAAAGAGTCTCCAGTGAACAAGAACTTCTTCTTGTAGAGGAACATGATACTGCCTGGGCTATGGCCTGGTGTGTGAATGATCTCTAGATCAGGCATGTGCTTCAAGGTCGCAGTTTCCAGTGGTTTAAGGCTTAAGATCACCTCATAATCCTTGGTCACCGGAAATGGGCTGTAATCATTCTTGGTCTCCACCAGGTCCGCCTTGTGCATCAGTCGCGGTGCCTTTGTTATTTCATGCCACACCCCGATGTTTGCAGTATGATCGACATGGGTCGCCAAAAGGTGGTGCACTCCACCCATGCGATTTACGGCTTCCACAAGCTTCGGATGTGCAATTGGCGGGTCAATCATGACATTGCTTCCTTGACTCTGTATGAAGAAGCCTGCAGCACCGAAAGTGGTCACATCTGAATGCCCCATAAAATAAACGTTGTCTTCGATCTTCTTCGGAAAACCTTCGTACACAAACGGCAAGCGTGCCAACTTCACCTTTGGCTGTCTCACCCAGCGAATGGCTTTCTGCGGACAGCTGAACACAGCTTGACGAACTGCATGGTATTCTTCCTCCGAAGTCACATCCTTTCCGGCCTCGGAAAAGTTGCCCTGGCAGGGTGCGACGATGTGATGCGCCGATGAATCGTGTCTAGGCATACCGGGACGGTTTACTCTCATCTTCAAGTTTGAAAACTCCAGATCAAACCGGATCATACCATTCCCTTGAGTCTGGCGGATCCTGAACATTTTGAGACAAAGGCCAAAGGAGTCACCTACCCGTGTAGGTGCCCAGCACCAACCATGTTTGACTTTCTGGTACTGTTTCGTTGAACAATGCAACACTTTAGATGGCCCCATCGGCGACAAAACTGGTACACTAAAAGAAATCAGGATGATTCAGGAAAGCTGTGAGGCCGCTTGGAGGGATCGGGCATGGAGATGCTAGATGCTAATGATGCTAGATGTAAGATAAGGAAAAGACGTTTTCGGAAACGGTCTGTGGCTCATTGCACCAGAGTAAATGTGGCTCAGGCTACTGGAGCACAGTCCAGTGTAAAACAATCAGAATCTGCCATCGCTTTTTGGAACATGGAATGACCAATGCCCTGACATAGGCCCAACTCGTCAAACCAAGTCAATATCATTGGGACTCAAGTGACCACCAAGTGCCCAGGTGTCCATTGTCATTGTATCGCTGTTGACAGGGTGGGTGCTCGCCAAACGCCACATTCCCTTCGAGCCTGATAAGCTGGACGTGACTTGGCCTTGACTTCCTGGAAGATCTGGGGAGCCAAGACCCGGCATGTCATGGCACCAAAGCACTTGGTGCTGACTTCCACCCGGCCCCAGTCTTCCAGGTCGGACGCCATCAAACAGGTGACTTCAAATGCGCCTGGGTAGATTTCTAGCAGCTGCTTGAGCTGCTTGAGCTCAAACCATCTCAAAGCAATCCGTGCAAATCATGAGCTTCTTTCAACTTCTTAATTGCCGCATTGCATTGGTTTCGGACCACATGTGTGACAGCTGGCTTTTTTGCTGATCAGGAACCATGACTTAGGTACAGCTTTCTGAAAGTCTGCTTGGAGGTCCCGCCTTGGCTACCTTTGCGTCTTTGTCCCTCATCACTCCCCGCCACCTGCCAGGACCGTGGATGAAAAACTAAGATCAACTGACGACTCTGCTGAGTCTTGAACTTGTCATCTGAGGCATCTCGTTGCTCTTTGGTTGCCGCCTGGCTGATGATTGCAATCCGGAAAGGCCAACAGAATCACGGGCTGTCGGCGGAGGCAGCTGAAAAAGCTTTTAGTTTTAGATTTTAGATCCAACATCACCCACAAGTAGTTGGAGCCCGACCCATAGACGGCCGTGGTGTTTTAAGCATTTTTTGGCTTTTTTTTTTTGATGGTCTTGCATGTCAACTAGCACACAGACGTCATGCTACGTTATTGTTATCTTGGGGTGGGGTTGGGTGGGGTGGGGTGGGGCAATGACGTTCATGTCAACTTGCCCACACACACGTCATGCTACGTTATTGTTATGTTCTCCTGCACTTGCACACACACACACGTCATGCTACGTTATGGTGATCTTCTCTTGCACTTGCTCACACACGTCATTCTACGTTATGGTGATCTTCTCTTGCACTTGCTCACACACGTCATGCTACGCTATGGTGGTCTTCTCTTGCACTTGCACACACACACGTCATGCTACGTTATGGTTGTCTTGGGGTGGGGTTGGGTGGGGTGGGGTGGAGCAATGACGTTCATGTCAACTTGCACACACACACACACACACGCACACGTCATGCTACGTTATTGTTATGTTCTCCTGCACTTGCACACACACGTCATGCTACGTTATGGTGATCTTCTCTTGCACTTGCTCACACACGTCATGCTACGTTATGGTGATCTTCTCTTGCACTTGCTCACACACGTCATGCTACGCTATGGTGATCTTCTCTTGCACTTGCACACACACGTCATGCGCACCATTGTTTTTGCAGATGGAGACCGTGCTTGGGAGTCACATGCCAAAAGTTTGAAAATCAAACATGCCAAAGTGTCTCATCAAAACAAAGAATGGACCAAACAAATGCGAAGAACCTCCTTTTTTTCCTGTCCACTGTGGCAGGGACGCAAATCGCTGACAGATGGTGGAAAGGCCTTTCCAAGACGGTTGTATGATGGAGTCAACACAAATGAACACCCTGAATTGGAAAAGTTTCTGTTGGCGAAAATCTTTGGGACCATTGACACCTCACCGGTTTCTCGAAGAACTTTGCAAGGCCGTCAAAGCAATGAAGCGCTTCTGAGAAGAAGGAAAAAAGTGCTGCATCCAAAAAAAACACGAACTTATGTCAAAAAACGAAGTAGTTTTGGAGATTTTCAAAACCCTATTTTTCACGTCAACATGAGAAAAAATGACGTTTCGCTGTAGCGAAAACGACATTTTTGTTGATGAAAAACTCCTAAAACCATACGGCCGTCTATGGGTCGGGAACCAAGTAGTTACTTTCAGTCGCCAAACTCGTCCGAGATTCATGGCCTTGCATTCCTCCAAGCTTCGTCGAATCTCGCGATCTTCGGGCATCAACCTGGCATGGCATGGTTCACAGGTTCAGCCATTCAAAACTATTCAAAACTATTCAAACTTCAGAAGGGGTGGTGGAAGCAGGGTAGGAATCTGTCAAGAGCAGCGGCAAGCCCTCTCCTCACATTTTGTTCACCCCTAAGTATTTCATGAACACAGCCGGTCCACTGTCTTTCCTCGACTTCCAGCTAAGTCTGAATGAACGAAATCTCATTCAACCAGGGAGGAACCGAAAGTGGGAGGGCACCCCCCCAAAGTGAAGAACGGATTGACAAAAATCAGTGATTGAAGCCAGACTCAGTCGCAAGTACTAAAGTTACTGAAGTACTTGGAACTTGGGTAGCCTAGGCTACACGGCTACATTTCACGAATATTGCAGCATAGAAATGGCAACCAGATCCACCGCCTTGCTGACTCCACAAAGTCCTTCAGAGCTTCGGGGAAGTCTTTTGCATGGCCTGAGCATTTGTCCTGTTGGACTGATGGTGGGAGCACCGGGGGATCATTCTTGTGAAATCCCTGGAAAAGGCTACTTGTTTGTACGAAAAGCTCAAGAGCTGCAAGGTTGACAATGCCAGCGCTTCTGAGCGACTGGCTCTTCCCCAAACCTGGGCCAGACATCCCAAAGCCGAATCATGATATAAACCGACCATTCACACTCCAAGGTCTGCTTCCACTTTCTTTATACTTCTACCAGTTCCAACAGAAGCCCAATGGACTCAGTCTTCGGACCTCGACGATATAGAAGCTTGGCTGGCAGAGAAGCTGGTTTTTCCTCCAGCCTGACGAGATGAGAGTAGATCGGTTGGGAGGTGGATCTTCTCTTTGCAAGAAGATGAAAAAATATGAAAAATATCTGGCATTGTCCAAGCCTGTCTGCAAACGTCAAACCCAGACTCGCTGCGCGGATGCAGTTGTGGCTGTCGTCACGCTTGAGGAAGATCAAGCTGCCGAAGTAGGCTGATGACTGTAATAAGATAAAACCTGAGAAGGGGGGAACGAAAGCCAGCATCCCATCTACCCCTATTTTCCACCAAACTTTTCACCCAGAGACTCTTCAATACATTTCACCCATATACTTTTCACCCAGAGACTCTTCACCCAGAAACTCTTCTTGCACATACTTTTCACCCATATACTTTTCACCCAGAGACTCTTCACCCAGAAACTCTTCTTGCACATACTTTTCACCCATATACTTTTCACCCAGAGACTCTTCACCTAGAAACTGCACATATTTTTCACCCATATACTTTCACCCAGAAACTCTTCTTGCACATACTTTTCACCCATATACTTTTCACCCAGAGACTCTTCACCCAGAAACTCTTCTTGCACATACTTTTCACCCATATACTTTTCACCCAGAGACTCTTCACCCAGAAACTCTTCTTGCACATACTTTTCACCCATATACTTTTATACTTTTCACCCAGAGACTCTTCTTGCACAACTTTTCACCCATATACTTTTCACCCAGAGACTCTTCACCCAGAAACTCTTCTTGCACATACTTTTCACCATATACTTTTCACCCAGAGCTCTTCACCTAGAATTTTTCTTGCACATATTTCTCACCCATATACTTTCACCCAGAAACTCTTCTTGCACATACTTTTCACCCATATACTTTTCACCCAGAGACTCTTCACCTAGAAACTCTTCTTGCACATACATTTCACCCATATACTTTTCACCCAGAGACTCTTCTTGCACAGACTTTTCACCCAGAGACTCTTCACTCTTCTTGCACATACTTTTCACCCATATACTTTTCACCCAGAGACTCTTCACCTAGAAACTTTTCTTGCACATATTTTTCACCCATATACTTTCACCCAGAAACTCTTCTTGCACATACTTTTCACCCATATACTTTTCACCCAGAGACTCTTCACCCAGAAACTCTTCTTGCACATACTTTTCACCCATATACTTTTCACCCAGAGACTCTTCACCTAGCCCATATACTTTTTACCCAGAACTCTTCACCCAGAAACTCTTCTTGCACATACTTTTCACCCATATACTTTTCACCCAGAGATTCTTCACCCAGAAACTCTCCTTGCACAGACTTTTCACCCAGAGAGTCTTTCTTGCACATACTTTTCACCCATATACTTTTCACCCAGAGACTCTTCACCCAGAAACTCTTCTTGCACATACTTTTCACCCATATACTTTTCACCCAGAGACTCTTCACCCAGAAACTCTTCTTGCACATACTTTTCACCCATATACTTTTCACCCAGAGACTCTTCACCCAGAAACTCTTCTTGCACATACTTTTCACCCATATACTTTTCACCCAGAGACTCTTCACCACATACTTTCACCCATATACTTTTCACCCAGAGACTCTTCACCCAGAAACTCTTCTTGCACATACTTTTCACCAATATACGTTTCACCCAGAGACTCTTCACCTAGAAAATTTTCTTGCACATATTTTTCACCCATATACTTTCACCCAGAGACTCTTCTTGCACCTACTTTTCACCCATATACTTTTCACCCAGAGACTCTTCACCCAGAAACTCTTCTTGCACATACTTTTCACCAATATACTGTTCACATCTTTTCACCCAGAGACTCTTCACCCAGAAACTCTTCTTGCACAGACTTTTCACCCAGAGACTCTTCACCCAGAAACTCTTCTTGCACAAACTTTTCACCCATATACTTTTCACCTAGAGACTCTTCACCCAGAAACTCTTCTTGCACATATAATGGTCCCACATCGGAGCCTCAATTTTACTTTTCACCCATATACTTTTTACCCATATACTTTTCACCCAGAGACTCTTCACCTAGAAACTCTTCTTGCACATACTTTTCACCCATATACTTTTCACCCAGAGACTCTTCTTGCACATACTTTTCACCCATATACTTTTCACCCAGAGACTCTCCACCCAGAAACTCTTCTTGCACATACTTTTCACCCATATACTTTTCACCCAGAGATTCTTCACCCAGAAACTCTTCTTGCACAGACTTTTCATTCCAGAGATTCTTCACCCAGAAACATACACAGTTTCTTTTCACCCAGAGACTCTTCACCTAGAAACTCTTCTTGCACATACTTTTCACCCATATACTTTTCACCCAGAGACTCTTCTTGCACATACTTTTCACCCATATACTTTTCACCCAGGGACTCTTCACCCAGAAACTCTTCTTGCACATACTTTTCACCAATATACTTTTCACCCAGAGACTCTTCACCTAGAAACTTTTCTTGCACATATTTTTCACCCATATACTTTCACCCAGAAACTCTTCTTGCACATACTTTTCACCCATATACTTTTCACCCAGAGACTCTTCACCCAGAAACTTTCTTGCACATACTTTTCACCCATATACTTTTCACCCAGAGACTCTTCACCCAAAAACTCTTCTTGCACATACTTTTCACCCATATACTTTTCACCCAGAGACTATTCACCCAGAAACTCTTCTTGCACATACTTTTCACCAATATACTTTTCACCCAGAGACTCTTCACCCAGAAACTCTTCTTGCACATACTTTTCACCCATATACTTTTCACCCAGAGACTCTTCTTGCACATACGTTTCACCCATATACTTTTCACCCAGAGACTCTTCACCCAGAAACTCTTCTTGCACATTCTTTTCACCAATATACTTTTCACCCAGAGACTCACCTAGAAACTGTTCTTGCACATATTTTTCACCCATATACTTTCACCCAGAGACTCTTCTTGCACCTACTTTTCACCCATATACTTTTCACCCAGAGACTCTTCACCCAGAAACTCTTCTTGCACATACTTTTCACCCATATACTGTTCACATCTTTTCACCCAGAGACTCTTCACCCAGAAACTCTTCTTGCACAAACTTTTCACCCAGAGACTCTTCACTCAGAAACTCTTCTTGCTCAAACTTTTTCAAACTTTTCACCCATCTACTTTTTCAACTTTTCACACCTAGAGACTCTTCACCCAGAAACGTCTTCTTTTGCACACATAATGGTCCCACATCGGAGCCTCAATTTTACTTTTCAAACCCATACACTTTTTACCACATATACTTTTTCACCCAGAGACTCTTCCCTAAAACTCTCTTGCACATACTTTTCCCCATATACTTTTCACCCAGAGACTCTTCACCTAGAGACTTTTCTTGCAACATACATTTCATCATCACCCATAACTTTTCACCCATAAACTCTTCTTGGCACATACGTTTCGCCCATATCTTTTCCAACCCATAGACTCTTCACCCGAAACTTCTCTTGCACATACTTTTTCATTTCACCCATATACTTTTCACCAGAGACTCTTCACCCAGAAACTCTTCTTGCACATACTTTTCACCCATATACTTTTCACCCAGAGACTCTTCACCTAGAAACTCTTCTTGCACATACTTTTCACCCATATACTTTTCACCCAGAGATTCTTCACCCAGAAACTCTTCTTGCACAGACTTTCACCCAGAGACGCTTCACCAGAAACCTTCTTGCACATACTTTTCACCCAGATACTTTTCACCCAGAGACTCTTCACCCAGAAACTCTTCTTGCACAAACTTTTCACCCATATACTTTTCACCAGAGACTCTTCACCCAGAAACTCTTCTTGCACATACTTTTCACCCAGATACTTTTCACCCAGAGACTCTTCACCCAGAAACTCTTCTTGCACATACTTTTCACCCATATACTTTTCACCCAGAGACTCTTCACCCAGAACTCTTCTTGCACATACTTTTCACCCATATACTTTTCACCCAGAGACTCTTCACCCAGAAACTCTTCTTGCACATACTTTTCACCCATATACTTTTCACCCAGAGACTCTTCACCCAGAAACTCTTCTTGCACATACTTTTCACCCATATACTTTTCACCCAGAGACTCTTCACTTCTTGCACATACTTTTCACCACATATACTTTTCACCCAGGGACTCTTCACCCAGAAACTTTTTCTTGCACATACATTTCACCCATTACTTTTCACCCAGAGACTCTTCTTGCACATACTTTTCACCCATATACTTTCACCCAGAGACTCTTCTTGCACAGACTTTTCACCCAATACTTTTCACCCAGAGACTCTTCACCCAGAAACTCTTCTTGCACATACTTTTCACCAATATACTGTTCACATCTTTTCACCCAGAGACTCTTCACCCAGAAACTCTTCTTGCACATACTTTTCACCCATATACTTTTTACCCAGAGAATACTTTTCACCCAGAGACTCTTCACCCAGAAACTCTTCTTGCACATACTTTTCACCCATATACTTTTCACCCAGAGACTCTGCACCCAGAAACCCTTCTTGCACATACTTTTCACCCATATACTTTTCACCCAGAGACTCTTCACCCAGAAACTTCTCTTGCACATACTTTTCACCCATATACTTTTTACCCAGAACTCTTCACCCAGAAACTCTTCTTGCACAGACTTTTCACCCAGAGACTCTTCACCCAGAAACTCTTCTTGCACAAACTTTTCACCCATATAAACTTTTCACCTAGAGACTCTTCACCCAGAAACTCTTCTTGCACATATAATGGTCCCACATCGGAGCCTCAATTTTTCCATTGTGTTTCCATCCCATCAATTTCTGTCATTTTACTCTCATTTTACTTGGCATCATTTTGGTCCCACATCAGAGCCGCAATTTTTCCAATATGTTTTCCATTGTTTTTCTCCACTTCTTCATCATAGTCCCTCGATTTTTCCATTGCTTTTCCATCGCTAATGGTCTCACATCGAAGCCACATTTTTTTCCATTGCTTTTCCATAGTTTTACTCGACATCATTTTCCCCTCCATTCCAGTCTCCCCAGTGTTTTTTTCACAGTTTTTCCTCCAGTTTTACTCAATCGTCCCATAGTTTACGCTATCAATTTATCCTTCCATTTCATCAATGTTTCCAGTGTTTTGCCATGGTGTTACTCGATTTCTCCATCATTACCCTTCTATTATCTCAGTGTGTCTAACGCTTACACAAATGCACCTCCCACAATCCCTACCGTTGCACCGTATAAACGGTTTTGCTCGTTTCTTCCATGGTTTTATTTCCGTGCTTCTACTCCATAGTGGTCACACATCGAAACCGCATTTTTTCCATTGCTTTTCCATTGTTTCACGCGTGCTTTACGCGATAATGGTCCCACATCGGAGCCTCAATTTTTCCATTGTTTTTCCACCCCATCAATTTCCATCCTTTTACTTTTATTTTACTTGGAATCATTTTCCAAGCGTTCTACTCAAATTTTCCATTCTTTTCCCATTGTTTTATATGCTATCAATCTATTCTTCCATTTCATCAATTTTCCAGTGTTTTGCCATGGTGTTGCTCGATTTCTCCATCATTACCCTTATGTTACCCCAGTGTGTCTAACGCTTACCCAAGTGCACCTTCCACAATCCCTACAGTTGCACCGTATAAACGGTGTTGCTCGTTTCTTCCATGGTTTTCTTTCCGTGCTTCTACTCCATAGTGGTCACACATCAAAACTGCAATTTTTCCATTGCTTTTCCATTGTTTCACGCGTGCTTTACGCGATAATGGTCCCACATCGGAGCCTCAATTTTACTTGGCATCATTTTACCTTCTCCCTATTCTTTCCACCGTTTCTCCTCGCGTTTTAATCAATTTTCCAAGCGTTCTACTCAAATGTTCCATTGCTTTCCCATTTTTTCCCATTGTTTTACGTCATATTCCCTCATTTTTTCTGGTCCCACATCGGAGCCTCAATTTTACTTGGCATCATTTTACCCTCTCCCTATTCTTTCCACCGTTTTTCCTCGCGTTTTTGTGCGATCAATTTATCCTTACATTTCATCAATTTTTCCAGTGTTTTGCCATGGTGTTACTCGATTTCTCTAGTGTGTCTAACGCTTGCCCAAATGCACCTTCCACAATCCCTACAGTTGCACCGTATAAACGGTTTTGCTCGTTTCTTCCATGGTTTTTTTTCTGTGCTTCTACTCCATAGTGGTCACACATCGAAGCTGCAATTTTTCCATTGCTTTTCCATTGTTTCACGCGTGCTTTACGCGATAATGGTCCCACATCGGAGCCTCAATTTTACTTGGCACATCAAAACTGCAATTTTTCCATTGCTTTTCCATTGTTTCACGCGTGCTTTACGCGATAATGGTCCCACATCGGAGCCTCAATTTTACTTGGCATCATTTTACCCTCTCCCTATTCTTTCCACCGTTCTTCCTCGCGTTTTTGTGCGATCAATTTATCCTTCCATTTCATCAATTTTTCCAGTGTTTTGCCATGGTGTTACTCGATTTCTCCAGTGTGTCTAACGCTTGCCCAAATGCACCTTCCACAATCCCTACAGTTGCACCGTATAAACGGTTTTGCTCGTTTCCTCCATGGTTTTTTTTCTGTGCTTCTACTCCATAGTGGTCACACATCGAAACTGCAATTTTTCCATTGCTTTTCCATTGTTTCACGCGTGCTTTACGCGATAATGGTCCCACATCGGAGCCATTTTACCCTCTCCCTATTCTTTCCACCGTTTCTCCTCGCGTTTTAATCAATTTTCCAAGCGTTCTACTCAAATTTTCCATTGCTTTCCCATTTTTTCCATTGTTTTATGTCAAAGTCCCTCCTTTTTTCCATTGTTTTTCTCATCATTTCTCATCATGTTCCCCTCCTTTCCCATTTTTTTCCCATTGTTTTATGTCATATTCCCTCATTTTTTCTATTGTTTTTCTCATCATTTTCCCCTCCATTGCAATCTGCCCAGATCCACCTCGGAGGGCGGACCAGGGGGGAATCGATACCCCAACGTCACCCAATTGCCACCTGGTACATAACCCTAAAAAAGTTTACCTGTGGCCACCTTTTTTACCACCTAATTTCCTCATTTTTGTCCGTTTTCGGGCGCTCTGCCCCCAGACCCCCTTAACTCACTTTGTTCGCATATAGAACTTCGCCTAGCCTAGCGGCTGGCTTTCGTGATAAGTGTGTGTGTATATATATATATATATATATAATCAAAAAAACATGACCGCTATCATCAGTGGACGCACAATGTCACAAGCAGGAGTCAGCCTCAGATTGCTGAGAAGAGGGACCGTTGCTTTGAGTACCTCGAAAAGTTGTAAAGAAGGCCCTGCACTGCGCCAGCATTTCTCTGTAAGCTCTCAGAATGTTTTTGGCCCAGAACCTCTTGCTTTTGCTCTTCGGAGTGCAGGGTTGATTGGCCCTTCAAACGAGTTCAGTGAGTTCTCTCATCTCAGTTTCTGCTCCCAAAGCCTGCACTGACCCGTCCTTGCTAAAGTCAATACAGTGCAGACTTCCAAGGGCAAACAACCTCGGAGTATACGATTCCAAGGTGACTCTCAACTCTCAACCAAAACGCGGATAGATCGGATAGGGATGCTCTCAAGGCATTGTTCTATTGCAATGACGGAGTCTATGGGGTCCGGCATTGCGTCTTGGATCTTCAGCTCCTTGATGCAGTTATTGCTCAGCTCCCGCAGTCCTGCAAGGACTCCAGGGTTCCAAGGTTTCAGTAGATTTCAGGTTTCAGAAGGTTTTTTCAAAAAATCAGTTGAGCCCAGTCAAAGGAGTTTGTGATCTCAACATGGCAGCAGCACGCTTCGCCAAGCTCATTCGGTCTGCAAAGTCCTGGTCCAAGGTGTAGATGAACATGATGAACAATAGTGAGCATTTTGAGGCTGTCAGGGGCAAGTCAATGCTTCACTCTGACTAGTAAAAGGTAAAACATAGCAAAACACTGATCAATCATCAGCTTTCTGTCCTGCGGTCTCTCGTAATTTGCATCCTTGAACCAGGTGAGCACCTGCGAACATGACTGCAAACAGACAAGAGAGAAGCGAAATGAAGCGAACATGCAAACAGACTCAGAGCAGGTTAGGTTTGACAACGCTGCAACACCTCTTTGCACTCCTCCTCCAGACAAAAGTGCCTCAGCAAAGGCTCCTCATCGACATCCCAGACCTCATGTTGTGTCAGAGAGTTGATGTGGAGAAAACCGTTCAAGTACCAGACTCTGAATACATTTGAATACAGTTCAGTAATGTTCAGTATAGTAACTGTATAGTACATATCATCATATATCTTCCCTACCGCAGACAAGCGTGTTGGGGCAGCTGTTCCTGCCAATCTCGGGAACAAATAGCAGTAAGCATGAGGACCACACCTGGGTATGTCCCATGGCATCTATTCTTGAAGCGAAGAGGTCACGACGTGATGGCTACGCTGCGTTTAATCAAGCTAACGTTTTCCTGGAGCTACATGGGGCGCCATATCCAGAAACGTTGGCAGGCGTGCAAAAGCTCTGCAGTGACTCCAAATCTACACAGATTTAAGGTCTACAGACACTAGATTGCCATGAGGTTCAGTGGATGCATAACCACCACAAGTTGCCGTGTATGCCTGCGAGTTGCAATATGTTAATCAATCCTGAGACTGCAACGGCAACTGCAACTGGACTGGACAACGGTTTGATGCCATGCCGAAAAGAATTGCTGTGAGACCGCCTTGGAACGAATGACAACAACAACTGTGAAGCGCCTATATCTATATACATCCTGTATATTTGTTGTGGCAATGCATCACCAATCTGAGGGCTCCTTTACAATTCGTTCATCTCACATTTTGACTCACAGGCCTCTTACGTTGGGCTTGAAACACAGCCTGCTTTGCAGGACCCTGTGAAGCCATTAGCATCTAAAGATATTTCACGCGAGCGGCTCGGCATAACCTCTTCCCCTTTTCTATTTTTTTCTAGAACATCCAGCAAGGCTAAGCACGTAGATATGTTCATTCATACACTAATTCTGCACAGGTTCAGGTTCATAAACGTTCAAACGTCACAACATTGCTGCGGATAGACCAGAGCTTCTCCTTTAGCTTGATTCTGCAAACACAAAACATGTAAATTACCTTTCAAGGGGGGACAGGCCGCACCAATTTCTTTCACATTATGTACAGTTTTGTACTCAGCCTCGTCCTCGACCACCGCCGCCGCCTTTCCCCTTTCCTTTCCCTTTGCCCTTTCCTTTTCCTTTTCCTTTTCCTTTTCCTTTACCCTTCTTCTTCGGTGCTGCTTCCTCTCCCTCGGGTGGAGTCTTCTTCACTTTGATTTCTCGACCATCAATCTCCTGTTTCAAACGGTGCAACCCCAAGAAATTAGGTAATTCCAAATTTCAAAGGTTCACTTCAACACTGCATTTTCACGTCGCCAACGACAAACCAGATTCAAAATTCAGCTGTATATTGGCAGTGTCTCTCTGCTCCGTATCGCTCCTTGCCCTCCAACCCAGAAATGGCTGCGTCCATTTCCTCCGCCGTGGAGAAGGAGACATCGGCTCTACGAGGAGCTCCGCGGACCCATCGTCGCACCGTGACCACCGTCCCAAATTTCTTGGCAGCCTGCGATCGTGCAGCTCGTGCAAACATGTTCAATGCATGAGATCAGGAAAAAACTATCACCTAAAAAACAAACAAATGGCCCATGGCCCATGGCTCAAGAACTAAACTCATTCTTGCTACAAATGACCTAACCAGTGCACCGTGTAAGTTCTTAGGACGCCACAACCTACTGCTAGAAGAGACATCGGAGGGCTTGTCTTACGCACTGTCGCTCGAGTGGTGTCAAAGCTGAGACCGCCAATTGACACGGAATGGACAGTAGGCTCACCATCATCATTGTCAAGCGCAGGGTCCTTGAAATTTCCAACGGCACAAAAACTGAATTCAAGATAATTTAAGAGTCATACCATCTTCATCAAAAGGCTTGTTCAACCCATTGCATCTGCCATGCTAATAGAATGCAAAAGCTTCTGCTCTGATGCTCCTGAAACTCTGTCTCAGCAACTGTCTCGGGAACTGTCTCCACTGTTTTGGCTTTTTTCCGAGGCTTCTCCTGGCCATTTCAAGCTGCATGTGATGTAGGAATGTACAGAACAGATTCTTAAACAGAGATTATGAAGAAATTGAGCTTCTTACTGGACGCAAGGGTCCGCTGTGATATACAATGCAAATATCTTCAAGCGGTGATTCACTCATGTCTGGATCCTCAACCTCCTCTTCCGCTTCTTCAGCAGGTTCCTCTTTCTGCTTCTTTCCCATGGCACCCTGAAGGTCATCACAAACAGACAAACACATGCCTTGCAATACAACTCTCAAGCCTCTACAAGACCTCCAAGTGCGAACAAACTCTCCAAGTGGGTTCCTCTACCTTTGAAAATCTGTGACAGAGCCTTGAAAAGACTGTTCTTGTCTTAATGTATGTTCCGCTGACAAGCAACTCAGTAGGGAACACAAATCAGTTGGTGCCTTCGCGTCAGTGCCGCATCAGTGTAGTGCTGTGAGCCCAAATATGCGGGAAACAATACAGGCAATGCAACAAATATCAACAAATGATTCAAATGATATCCAAAACTGGCACAGAAGGAGCACAAAAGCACTTGCAAGCGGGACATGTCTGCAACAGGCTAGTGGCTTTTTTGCAGCCAGAGTCAGTTCTATTCGGAAGGACTTATATCACAGCCATGATGTCCTGAATTTCTCGGAACACTGCAAGTGGTCAGACTCAAATTTGGAATCGGGCTCCTCTCCAGCCTTTCCGTCAAAGGCTGAAGAACACCCGAGTCATACCTCATTTCCTTTCCTTGTCGTCGGATATCTGAGAAGCAAACAAACAAAGGCATAGTTACGAAAGTCCCTGGATTGCCGCAGACTTCGGACCATAAAAGGCCAGGACCCAACAATGTATGTAAATCATTGTAAATCAATGTAAATGTCCAGGATATCCCAGGATCATGGTCAGACCTCTTCGTTTCTTGCACTTCTCGTGGTCCTTGACTAAATAATTAGCTTCATTGAAATCATGGACGTGGAGCTTGGTAGGAATCCTACCTCGGCTTGCAGGCCTTTGTCGCATCGGAGAGCTTTTTGTCCAACCACTGGAGAACATGTTGGTGCCCAATGGAAGTTTTCAGATAGGCTTCCCAGCTTCCTGCCGAACCAGTGGCAGTTCTAAAGCCTTCCTCGAAGATTTGCTTGCATAACTCATTGACAAGGCACTTTTGCCGAAGCCATTTCTCAGATTCTGTGATGGTCAGGGCCTTCCACAATTCATTCTTTCGCCTCACACGCCCATCTACAACTGCCTTCAAAGCCACGTAATCTGTATCCTGCTCAGAAAACGACCCCAAAGTCCGCAGAGTCACCTTAGAAACCCTGTCTTTTTCGTCAAGGGCTGTTTTCGGCGAATGTTTCATGGATTCACTAGATCCCTTCTTTTCATGAGAGGCTTGGCCTTGTCTTTGTCCAGACTTGCGAGCCTTCTTGGCTTCCGCACAAGCCAAATCCCACAAAGATGTCGCGGGTGCTGGGGCTGGCATGTCGATGTCGCGGGCATCAGGCACCCCCGACTTTCCCAAGGATGCTGCCCAGTTCCGACGTTCTTTCTCCTCAGAATCAGGATCTCTTGGAAACTGCTTGACCTTCCGGTCCTGCTTGTCCTGCTTTCCCCCAAGATTCTCCGACTGGGCCTTTTTGGGACTCTCCTGACTTTTGGTACCCACTGACTTCACTGTTTCCTGCGACTCATTTGCTTGACTATCAGAGCCCAGTCGTGCAAGTCGGGGAGAACTTCCGGAATCAGAAGCTCTCACAGAATCTTCTAATGAATCGGACATTCGCTCGGTCTCCAAACGTTGTTCCAATATGCCCACGAGATGCAGATGTGGCTTGTCATTTGAGGTCTCTTCCGAAGCACAATGATCTGGTGCACAAACATCTGTATCGAGAGCGAAGCAAAAGTTCACATGCAATGAGAGGACTTCCATGAAGGCATCGAGATCCTTGATTCCGATGTATTTTGATTCGATCCAAGGCATGACACTGCTCTTCCGACGCATTCCACCTAAAGTCTGAAACAAGTGCTGAGCCGCCATGTCTCCAATGGCACTGTTGTGGGAGAGCAGCAGCTTTTGGGGTGGAGAATCTCGTTTAGATAGCCATGACGCAAGAGCTGTCACAGCAGATGGGTCCATCCTGTTCCATTCCAAATTCAGCACAGCGATTTCAAGACTCTCCATGACTTCCAGAGACTGCAACAGTGTCATAAGCCCTGCCTTCCCAAGTCTGTTCCCAGCCAGATTCAGAGAGACCCGTGGCTTGAAGCACGGGTGACGCGTGAGCTTCCCTAAGACAGATCTGACAAGTTTGGCCACATGTAGTGCTGCAGCATCTTTGATGCGTCGCCCACCAAGTTCGATCTGCAATAAACCACCGTTGAGTTGAATCCATGACGTCGAACCGCTTCTTACGCCAGGTGGAACAGGGGGAACGTCATTCGGAACATCATTCTCCAAGCCATTCTCCTTTCCATCCTTTCCCATCTCTTTCTTGATCTCTTGACGGCCTTGACGAATCGATGGAGCTTGCAGAGCATGTTCTTTGGCTGAAGCTCCTTTGAGCTTCTTCCCTTTGGCATCGGCGAGTTGCAAATCTGAGCTTCGTTTGACGGACTTGGAACTGGCTGTGCTTGGTGCCTTTGCTGCACTAGCCGCCCTTGCTGACCTTGCTGCTTCCTGTTCTAGATCTCGCTTTGGCAGGGTCTTCCCTCTGGGATCCATTCCTTTTGCCTCATCGGCCTTGCCGCTGTTACTTGAACTCTGGGTGAGCACCTTCTCTGCATCTTGAGAATCTGTCTGACTTGCATCCAATGGCAACTCCTATGCATGCACAGTACTAGGTCCAGGAACCGGGTGAAATGTGTGCACTCGGACTCACAATACAAGGCAAGTGTGGTCCTGGCACTCTGAGCAGAACCTGCGATGGGTTTGGATGCTAGAGCTGCTAGAGGTCACTTCACATCCAAAAGCCAACACCTGAAGTGATTTGAAACTCAGCTCAGCGCCAATCTCCCTCTGGCACCTCTGACCTGCTTGTAATCTTTGAACATTTTGATCATGTTGTTTCTTTGACAACTTTTTTTGTTGCGAAATCTGGGATTCGAGCAGGCCAACGCAGTAGAAGTGGGCTGCCCCCTGCCCCAAGAGCACTGCTCAAAGGGAACAGATTCGAAATGATTCGAAAAGATGAAGACTCCAAGGACTCCAAGGAGATCCAAGGAGTTTGTGAAATCGAAAACCGGCTGCAGATGAGACCCACACACTGCAGTGTCCGCCAAGTCCATCGCAGAGTAGAAGAGCTTCATCATCGTCCGAACGTTGACCTGAAGCTTGGATCTTCAGGCTGACAGGCGAAGAGAATGACATCATAAAATCAGGTCCAATGCCCCAGAAGTGGGGCCCAAAAAAAATGCCCGACGGCACACGGAAAAAGACAAACTGCGACCCTGTTCCTTTGGGAAGAGAGAGAATGCCCATAGATTCCAGTGATTCCATTTATGTGAAGGTGGATTCGTAGTCCCCATTTTCCGCTCATCTGGGGCATCCAGCAAACACTGCAAACAACTTCGTCAGCTTCATCACTTCCACCTGCAACGCCAAGGCCAAGGAGCTGCTCCGTTTACACATTATGTCATGAGTCATTTGCTCCTTGGGGATCATCTACTATGCCCAAAGTATATCACAACACGACACAATGTGACCTTCGGCAGCTTCCTGTTGGTCTCTCTCCTCCACATTTGCAACACCTGGACAATGCAAAAATCAAAACCAAAGAACTACAAGCAGCAGAACGATTCACTGCAAACAGACTCACGGCGCTCAGAGGCCGTGCGCCGTGCAAGGCCATTTCTCTCTTGCGTCATTGTTTAAGGTCCCTGCGTCTTAAATCTCCATCTGCACCATAAATCCCAAAGCGGCAAAATCGCACTTTGCACCTAGCGGCTTAGCGCGAATCGCAAACACAACAACCTGCACTCCCTTGTGGGTCATGGAGTTTCCCTTCACATGGAGAAAAGCAGGCTGTGCATGTGCGACAGCATTTGAACATGGTTTCTGAGGCAGCTGCAGCGGGCAAGTGTTTTCTTGTGCTGCCCAAGTGGAGATGCACCTGCCAGGTCATTTGACATCGACCAATTGCTTAGCCTTCGACATCTAAAAAGTATGCTGGAGAGCACCGCCTTACATGGAAAAAGTGCAGGGACTTGCAGGATTCCAGGATCGCAACAAAATCTCCGTCTTTGCCTCGGATTTCTGAAGCTTTCTGATTCTGAAGCGCCCAAAAGCACAGTCAAACTCCACAATGAGATCTGAAGATACTGAACATATCAAGAAGGCATATCTTAGGTCTCCGGCTAACTGTGTCAATATCCAGAAGACATGCACCGCACCTCAAGGAGCAAGAGTCATCCATATGTACGTATGTACCAGATTGTACCAGTATGTCACTGTATGTTCAGCATCTCCGTTCGTTTGAATTGAAGCCGGGCTGGGCAACACACTGCTTCAATGAGGCTGCCGAAGCGCTCTCCAGAAATGGACTGAAGCCAGGAGCTTTGGTGAGGCAAAGCTTTGTACAGGCTCAAACCAGGTTCTTTGTGTCTTTGCCAATCCAAGAATCAAAACTATCAGTCCGAAGTCAATTGATTCTGTGCAAACCATCTGCATCTTAGGCCTTCAATGCCTTCAAGTAAAACATCTGAAGCAGAATTCGCAAAGCCAAGCACTAAGAGCCTGAAGCCACTTCGCCCATCAAGAAGTGCACTGCGCAACCTCTCACTGCGCCTGCAAGGCTGCACACTACGTCAAGAAAAAGACACAGCTGTCGTTAGTGCATCTTGATGACCTTGGACAAATCTTGTTTTCCTGATGTTGTTTTTACAATAGTCAGAAGCCTTACAAGCCCTACATCCAACCTGGGCGAAGTTACGGCCATGACAGAACAAACTGGGACATCCTTCAGCGAAGAAGTTCGGAAATGTTGAGCAGCTGGCGGCTGCTACAAGAGAAGGTGTCTTATCGAAAGTGCATATCTATCTCATTATCTCATTGATGTTCATTCATGATCATTCATGTATGTATCTTGATTTGGAATGATCTGCTGACCTATCTGATTTGACCTCGAGCCATTCAAGGAACGACCAGAACAAACGGTTGAGCAGGGAAGTGCTACACCGTGCAACGTTGCAATTTTCATCAAGGTTCATCAAATTTCTTTCAATGGCGAGCACATAGACAAAGCCCAGGCTGCAGGGTGAAAACCAATCATTTTTCCGTCAAAAGGCCAAGTCTTGCAAAATTCCATGCCCCGGTCTTGGCCGGAGCACAAGTGAAGCAAACTTCTGGGGTTTCATCGCTCGAAAGCGTCGCACTTGTCTCAATCGATGTCCACATGGTGGAGGTACTGGAGGAGAGCAGCTGCAATTCCGCCCGACAGCTGCGAAGAGATACCAAAAATATGCCGTGATAGGACTGGCCAATTCCAAAAGGCCACAATGTGCCAAATAATGCTGGGCTGCAAAAGCGTGGCCCTGTCGCCACACTTCATCCTTGGGGCGTTCTCAATAGGCTTCAAAACAGTTCAAAACCATCAGACCATTTGAGATTGGCAATGATGAGCCAATGATGGGCCAATGATTGCCAGTCAGGCTAAGTGCAGGTCGCGCGTAGCACCAATGAGATGCTGAACAGAAAGACCCAAATAGCACCTGAAGTTTCCAAGACAGCACTCACAGCACAGATCTACTTCAAACAACGTGACAGTTCTAGGTCTAGGTGATGCATCTGCTTCGGAAGCCGGAACTATCAGTTCATGCACTTTTGTCAAAGTTTACAGGGTTGAAGTAGTCATTTTTTTTTCGAGCATTGTGCAGCTACAACACTGGCCAAGATGTTGCAGATTCTCCAGAGACGGACAAGACAAAGCGCTGCTACAAGTGACATGCATGGCAAAGAGCTGTGGTTTGCCAAAAAGATTTGCTCTCCCTCACAAGGTTGCACAATAATCTGGCTGCAACACCACAGATACCACAGTCTTGCATTTCATACTGCTGTACAAGTCAAATGAATTCGATGTTTCTTGGGGTGCTGGACATGGGTCCGCATGGGTCCGCAGTTGCACAGGTGTTACAAGCCACATTTGTTGCACATTTATCGGTGAATTCATTGGTTTCGGATTTGACCCCAAGGCACTCTGACGAGGGGTCTGCATTCAGGAAGGGTCTCTCAGATGCTGCAAGTTGTGAGAGAGCATCTGCTGTATGTGCTGGGCTAGCACTGGGCCTGAACGGTGGCTACACAAAGACTCTGAAATTCTGAAATATCAACCGAAAACAATGTCACGGCAAGCGCAAATTTTCTTGGCTGATGTGTGCGCAACTCCGTAATCAGCTTGGCTGTTTACGACAATTTAATACATTTGACTTGACATGTTTGTGTACCAGCATGTAATCTCGAAACACTTGGCAGCCTCTGCACAACAGGAAGTGATCTTTCTGTTAGGAATACCAGCATTTCAAAGGGTGCAACCGAGCCCATTTCGAAAAGCAGAATGGAAGATTGATGCAAAAATGCCACCACACACCACCACCAGTTCCAGAAGATCTGTTCTGTCAGACCCATTTCCGTGTATGCCCGAAAATGCTTCTCCAAGAAGTCTTCTGGAACAAAAGCTCCAAGAAGCAAAGATGTACACACATCGCAGTTGTGATCAACTTGCTCTCGTTTCTCCCACAGCAAAGATTTAAGCTCATCATCCACAGAGCTCCATGCGTCACTCAGTTCCCTCGATGGAGACTCAAGAGATGCTCGAAGTTCTGTGAAGTTCTTCATACCCAGAGAGCATAGAAGTTCTTTTGCACAGTTGTAGTCTTTGAAAGCTTCGCACCGACTCTCTGATTGGCGCATTTCTTCCTGGAGTCGAATTGATGAGCCAGCGCCGAAAGATCTACTTAGGCGCATCACGTGATAAATGCCGGAATCTCTTGGCTGTCTCGACTCTCCTTGAGCTGGAAAGCCGCAAGTCTCTGCACTTGCCCATGGCAAGCAATCCAATGTGCGGTAGTCGGACTTATGGAGGATGCAACGTTCATTTGGTCTGATTCCAAATTGACACCCTGCTTGGAGCATGTGGGAAGCTCCCAGTTTTGAAGCAGCACACTCCTGCAGTTGTGGTCGGAGCCATTTCACAACTGAGCTATCTGCGTAGGACCTGTTGGACCTGTTGGAAAGGAGCTGGGGCAAACATGGCTCCAAGTTGCGGATGTAGTGTGGTCTCATCACGGGAAAGCTTGAGCTCGAGGTCGGTGGCCGTTGAAACATGCGATAACGGACAGAGTGTCCAGGAAGGACTGCATCGATCACTTCATTGACAATGCATTGAGATGCAAACAGAGATATACGCTCAAAACCTTCCTCATATGGTAGGAGCATTGCATGAACAGACCAGTGAAATGCAATCACTTTGTGATCTATTGATGATGTACATACACGCATTTCAATGGGGCTCAAACAGTCAGAGTCATCAATGTCGTTGAGCGGAGTTGCCACTGCTGGTGTGTCTTCCAGCAGCAAGCGATGAAAGAAGCTGACAGCTGATTCTGATGGTGCTGGTAGGATCTCCATATTCCCGCATGCCGAGGTCGAGCAACGATTGAACCTGAACTCACCGCTGTCATCCGCAAAAACAAAGTACCAAAACGGGATTCCTCGCTCTTCCTCAAACTCGAGGGCATGGCGATACAGCAAATTTCTGCCAGGTGTGTAAGTCATGTTGCCCGCAACAGCACCACCCAAAAACCACTGGACTTGTGGCAGGCACACATGGCGGAAGCGTGGCAAATTCAGAGTGCGCTCACAAAGGCTGAAACTTCCCCAAACGAGCCACGCATCTCCAGCTGGAATTGCTGGAATTGCTGCAATCCAAGGAGGGGGCAGTCCCGCACCCTGACTGATCCATACAAATCCTTGTGACGGTCCTTGTGCTTCTGCCCCAGCAACAAGGATTTTCAGCAACAGCAAAGCAGAAAGACCGCCTTTCATCGTTCACAGCTGAGTGAAATGATGCCTTGGGATATGATGGATTTGGAAAGAATCGCCATCGCTACTGGAGGACTTAATCAACCTAATCTTCTGCTGAAGTGACAAACGGCTTGAGGAACAAAAATGAGGCGGCAAGATCTCCACATGACGACCAGAACTCTTGCACCCTGAGGAATCAGTGTGAATCCAACAGTCCTGCAGTATCGTTTCTTCAAATATGACATTTCTGTCGTATGAAGCAAATGTCAGTTATTCTTGAATTCAAGTCGTTGCATCCTCGTCCTCCATCACTGCCAGAGTATCTTTCTAGAACTTGGCTGAAGCACTCTCGAGATTCATAAGTTGCAAATACTTTGAATGAGTCTAATGATGTCATCAACATCGCAGCATAAATCTTTTTGGCTTCCGCTTGGACATCTTCCAGCTGAGGCTGAACAAACCTTGCTAAGATTCTCAGTTCATCAAAGAATCGTGCAGCCTGGGGTTTCAAGAAATGTCGCAATAAATGTCTACGCTTGGCCATGTCTTCATGCCTTCTGTTGAATCCCTGCTATTGACATGAAGCAAAACACGCAAGCCAACCAAGCAGTTTAGACTGGTCCAGGCAGAAGCCAGTTTACAAACCGCTGCTGTGAAAGCCCATCCACAAGGTCGAAGATATGTTGAACTGTTGCACTTTCCGAAAGTCTGTGCACTTTGCAGAAATCCTCTGTACGTTTCCTGCCTCAAGCTTCGTCCAAGCAGGAGCCCGTATGAACGAGCATTTCATTGACAGTAACAATCCTTCAAGCAGCGTCTTGTTTGTTGCAGGATGATAATTATCTGTGTCTTTAGAAAAAGCTATGCAGCTATGAAATTCTGTCGGCGCATCTTTCTCGTGCCTGAAGGTGAAGCATCCAACGGGTCCAACTCCTGCAGCAACAACAACAACAACAGCAGCAGCAACAACAACAACAACAACAACAACAACAACAACATCGACGACGCACAAGACTTCATCAATCATGTGATGCACGCAGTCAACAGAGAAGCCACTTGTCCAGAAAGTGATGCAATGACTAAGCGTTTGCATCCATAAACGCTCCAGTTTCTCCTCGGATGTAAACAAAGATGGCTGTTGGCGAGTGTCCACAAGCCAGGAGCGATGGCGCCTCAGTCATCAGGCTCTTGTTGAGCATGCAAGCTCGCAGCGTCACTAAGCGTTTGCATCCATAAACGCTCCAGTTTCTCCTCGGATGTAAACAAAGATGGCTGTTGGCGAGTGTCCACAAGCCAGGAGCGATGGCGCCTCAGTCATCAGGCTCTTGTTGAGCATGCAAGCTCGCAGCGTCACTGTCTTGTTGCGAACTCAAATTCACTTTGGCAAAGGGTGACAAAGGCAGGTTGCAAAACTAGTTTCCATAAAAAAAACTCATGAGTAAAGCTGAGTGCAACTAAGCACCAAGCAACTCGCTGGGTCCGTGTCTTTCACCTGTCACCGGATGAATTGTAGAAGTACCGACTTAGCACTGGTGAAGCACCAGTAAAGCATTGGTCGCCCACAGGTCGCCATGCAGCGGCGCCTTCTCGGCCAGCTGCGTTATTCGCAATGGCCAAGGAACGTGGATCCACTTGCAGAAAGTCAGCACCTCACCGAGCTTCACTGGAAGTCTGTTTGAAATCTTCAAGGCAAACAGACTTTAACAACCGGAAAAATGCGAAAACAAAGGGTATGGAATCTATGGCAATGAATTGTAGCTGCTAGCTGATGCAACAATTCTGCTTGCTAGTCAAATTCAAGAGAGTCAAGTCTCTCGGAGGCCCTTCAGCACAGCTGAGACCTGAACCTGGCTTCAAAAGTATCTCGAACATCAAATCTCCCGCTAGTGGGCCATGCCTTGAATAGCAGGTAGAAAAAAAACTGTCACTAACAGTTTGTACCTAAAAGAGCTGAGATATAGATAGTCCTTTTTCTCAACACAAGGGAACAGAGCTTCTGGGTTTTTTTCATCTTGCTTTGTTTAAGAGGCTGGCTGAAGCACATCCACAATCTGGGAACAATCGACCTGCCAAAGCCAGATTTCTGAGACGAGTCTACGTGGATTCCACACAACAAAGTCTATAATCAATGAATACAAGAGATTGTGAAGAGGTTGAAGACTTCTTGAATACAAGTTCGTACTGGTCATCAGGATAAATGCTTGCGCCGTTCTAGTGATGAGGTTTGAGGCTTTCAAGCCCACTCACACCTGTGCGAGCAACTGGTACTCAGGAACGGCTGCTTCTGTACCTGAGAACGGGCTGAATGTAGTGCACTCGGATGGTGAAATTCAATGCTGACAGCACATGTCAGGCTTGATAACCGCCTGATAACCCTGTCAATCACTATAGATATTACATAACAAGATGTTTCTTTGAGTGCGAGACCAACACCTTCGGCCTCGGTGCTTTGGGTGCGATGCAAGAACTGCAAAATATCTCAAAAATGAAAAGCAAAAAAAACAAAACCTCAGATCTCTCAGATCTCAGCCCACATAGCCCACACTTCAAGAATGAGGGCCACGTCCTCAAAGAGGATCTAGCGAGGATCTAGCTCTGTAACATTCTGTAACATTCTGTAACATTCTTGTAACCCAAAAGTTATAAAAGTTATAAGCTGCTACAGTGCTGCTACAGTTTGTCTATTGTGGAATTGACTGATGACACTCCCAGTCCTCAGCAACTCTTGGCCGGGCCTTGGCGACCACGTCACGCTGTCACAGGCCCGATCTTTTTCTGACTCCCACAGGATTGAGCTGAATCTATTTCAATCATTCTCAATCCAGGCTATTTGATGCAACAAAAGATTGACAGAAAAAATCCGATTCAATCACTTCTTCTCCGATGCTCTCCGATGCTCTGAGAGTGCTTCAGGACCTGACAATGACATTGGTTTGAAGTGAGACTCGAAGCTCCGAAGCGTCACTCATCAAGACGTTGGCATCCACACCTTGGATCCACCACTTCCATCAGCGTCCCTCTCCCCAAAAAAGCCCCCCGAGACATGGGCTGGTTGTGGGAGCTGGAAGATCATCTGGAGCAAATTCAGAGAGGAGGCTGTTGATGGGCTCGATAGCCTCTTGGCAGGTCCAGTTGGTCCAGTTGGTCCAGTTGGTTCGATGGTCTGCATTTTTTCACTGTATTAAGTGGGAAGGTTTGCACCCTCCATATGCAGCCAGTACCCTCCATATGCAGCCAGTATGTGTGCGTACATGTGTATGTATGTATGTATGTATGTATGTATGTATGTATATATGTATGTATGTATGTATATATATATATATACATATATATATATACATATATATATATATATGTACATATATATTGTGAATCCGTGTCATTGCATTCCAATCAGATCGATGTTTACCACCATGCACCTGCAGGTAATCAAACAACCCTGTTGTAGCACCTTTGGTTCAGGCGAACCCTAGCGGGAGGAAGTGGGTGGATATCCTTAGGTATCAGTGTTTGAGCATTTGGCGAGTGTGGTCACTCAAGTTACAACTGCAGGACCAGGGGTCCAAAACATTGGTGCGTGGAGAAACAGTCATTTCATTTAGGGATTTGCTGGCCTCCGTGTGTGACGAGGGACTCTTGCCTGCTTTGGGAAAAGGGTCCGACTGTGATCTGGTTGAAGTACTGGAGGAGGAGGCCCGTTGCCAGTGTGGGGAAGTTTTATCTACTCACATTGGTAGCGGAGCCAGCAGGCTCACGCCGCTAGGTTCCAGGGAGGTGGAAAGACATGCCTGAAGCTAGCGATGGTGGAGATCCAAGCACCACCACAACGCTAGTCCCAAATCAGCTTGCAAGCCTGGTACCAACTTTCGATCCTGCCAAAGATGAAATTCTGGAGTACACCAAGAAGGTTCAATTGTTGATGAACATGTGGCCGGAAGGAAAATGGATTGAACTTGCAACAAGACTCATTTTGGGTTGTTCAGGAACCGCATTCCAGAAGTTACAATTGCACAGTTCAGAAGTGACATCCAATGAGAAGAAATCGATTCAGAAAATCATCGAACTCCTAGGAGGACAGTGGGGACAGATCCCATTGGAGAGAAAGTATGAAGCAGCCGAGCGTGCCTTGTTTCGATGTGCACAACGAAGTGATGAAACCAATGACTCGTATCTTGCCAGGGCCGACATTCTCTGGCAGGAATTGTCCAGCAAGAGCATGGATATCCAAGACCTACAGGCGTACATTACGCTTCGAGGGTCAAATCTGAGTGCGGAGGACAAGAAACGGGTTGTGTTAGATTGCGAAACAAGCACTGACGGCAAGCTCACCATGACCAAGGTCTCAGCAGCAGTCCGCATGTTAGGGGCTGGATTCTTCCAGGAGATGACATCCGGGAAGAAAACTGGAAAACTGAAGACGTATGATGCCTCTACTTTCATGTCTGACAACATGGACATGTAGGAACCACAGAACACACTGCATGCAGAGACAGGTGAAGACTTCACCGAGGAGGATGCCATTGAAGCCCTGTGCCAGGAAGGGGACGAAGACGCCGTCCTGATTACTGATTTCGAAGTCGCTGCATCGGAAGTTTTGCAAAATGATGAAGAACTAGCTAGTGCCTTCAATGCATACGCCGAAGCCAGAAAGCGATTAAGTGACAAAGTGAAATCAAGGGGATTCTGGCCTCCCTCCAAAGGGAAAGGAAAACCGACCTTCAAAGGGGTGAAGGGCAAATTCCAGAAAGGACACCAGTCCAATCGCAAGTCGCTGCAACAGAGGATCCTGTCTTCCCATTGCCGATTGTGTGGAAGAATAGGACACTGGAAAGCTGAATGTCCCACCAGACATGAGAACAGTGCAAGCAGTCGTCCTCAAGCATCGGCCTCGTTTGTGCAAGTCCAAGACAGCCAATCCGATGGTCTGCCACTGGAATTTCTCAACCTGCCCGCACTTGAGGGTACTATGGATGAAGCTCACCTTAATATGGGATATTGTTTCACATGTCTAAATGGGGTAAATGATGATCATAACCCAAAAAGTAGGTTGAAGCAAGCACTCATGACATGGCATAAGACCAAAGGCCTTTCCAATGATCAACACAAGCCCAGGAGTGAAGATCCGATCGAGTTCGCAAAGACCAAATTGCGAAGAAGCCTTGCAG